TTGATGGGTTGGGGAGATCGATATATCTCTCATACCTATATTCGGATTTATTGGGACCGCATGACAGCGCAACTCGTCAGGTATTTCCATATCTTATGGTTGCTTCGTAGGTGTTGTCTTTGACCTGAAACTTAGCACTGATTGCACTCATTTTACAGCGAAAACGATAGGTTACTCTCCACAATGACTTCGGAAATGACAGAGGACGAACCGGTATGTCATCTGTCGTTCTGAAGAACGATTCTAATCCAGTGAACAGAATGAAAAATCTACATTAACACGCAACTCAGACGGAACATTCATTCTAAAGGATCAACTCAAAGAGTACACGGACCGTGGCGACCAGTTGGAAAACATGAATCTTTACGACTATTTCACTCTCACATACGATGGCAAGATGCTCAACACACCACGCTCCAAGACAGCGAATACAGAAGCTCCGAACGCTCTACTAGAACCTGCAGCAGACACCGACGCTCCACCAGAATCCGCGCCTCCTGCAGCGACACAGCAAGAAGATGCAATGGACATTGACGATATCCCAGTAGCAACAGAACCGCCACCCACCAGCCGGAACAGGGGCGGAAGACCCCCTAGCATTCGCGTACCCTATCGTGAAGGAGCAAAGCGAAAGGGTCATTGTCGCATCTTCCGAGCAAAAAGCCAGGAAGTCAATTTACATTTCATGGGACAATGGTTTGCACGTAAAAGTGTTGGGGTGGCCGGTGAGTATTACAGTGCGCAAATGCTGATGCTTTTGAAGCCGTGGCGTTCATTACGAGACTTGCCAGGCGGAGAACCTACTTTCACCGCTGCGTTTGAAAAGTTTTGCGCTCGACGCGACAGCGGAGCAACACCAGATCCTAATCAATATCCAGTATTTCTACGAATGCTCGGATCACGCTGCTCGTCGCCAGAAGGATAGGTCGGGGTCTGCAAACAATGAGGGTTCGAGGACATCAGAACCCGTCGTCCAGTCAGCAAATAATCAAGGTGTTGCTTCAACAGTTTTCGTGGCACAAGAACCAACCGAGGCTGAGATACAATGTGCTCGGCAGGCACAACAAGGACCTCGGGAACGTTTATATGGCCAGCAAGCCCTTGATGTCGCCCTGCGAAAAGGTATATTTTCCGATGAGTATACGCGAGTTACTCCTCAACCTCACGTTCGTCAAGCAACACTAGCAGACATGTCAACATACGCACAATGGGCCAAAACAGTAGCTGCATATGTCAAGAGCGACGCGTTTACACCGCATGTACCGTTGACTATGGGCGACACAAACATCATGCCGCTTTCAGGCTCTATGGACATCGACCCTCCAGTTTCTGGTAGTGATCAAGGACGCAACTTGGGCACAATCACGGACATAACTTCAGATTCCCGGGAGACAATTGGGCCCGAGTTAAACCAAGAACAACGACGAGCTCACAACATTGTCGCGGACCACCTTCGCGAGACTCTGGCTGGCAGAAAGCCCGAACAGTTGCTGATGATCATCCGTGGAGAAGGAGGGACGGGGAAAACAGTTGCTCTTGGTGCGATTGCTAGAACCTTTGACCAACTTCATGCTCGGGAAATGCTAGCCCTGACAGCCACAACAGGGGTTGCGGCGAGCATGTTTGGGGGACAAACCGTTCACAGCTGGGCTGGTATTGGTTTCGGCGACACGAAACCTCGAGGATCAGATGCGACACAAGCGAAACGCCAAAGAAACATTGGTCCCACCAAGTATCTTGTCATCGACGAGTTTTCAATGCTCACGAAAAAAATTCTAGTCCTTCTCTCACAGATCATGGGTGTTATAAAGCAAGATAGAAAAGAGGCACTCCCATCGGACGCGTTTGGCCTGGTTAACGTGATATTGGTCGGAGATCTTCACCAATTTCCTCCGGTTGGCAGCATTCAGCAAGCTTTGTTCTACGGTGACTCACAAGTCTGCAGCGAAGGCCTATTACTCTATCGCCAGTTTACAACCGTGGTCACTCTGACTGAGCAGCGACGAATCACAGATCCTGGCTGGATGGCGCTGCTCAAGCGACTGCGCGTCGGGGCATGCACTGGCGAAGATATGGACTTATTGGAAACTCTGCTCATCGATAGTCCGAAGAGCACCCCAGTGGACTGGAAATCCCCCCCCATGGGACAAGGCATATCTGGTTACTCCACGACACAGTGCAAGAACGCTGTGGAACACCCAATCCCTGAGAAAACATACAGCGCAAACAGGGCATCGTGTATATCGCTCACCAAGCGAAGATCGAGTAAGCAAAGGTGGGGGTCAGCTAAACGCTTGGCAAAGGCTAGCCGTGGTTAGTATCAGTACTAAGAAATCCAATCGTTTGCCGGACGAACTCCAAATTGCCATTGGTATGGAAGCAATGGTACTCTGGAATATCTCTACTGAAGCAGAGTTAGCAAACGGCACTGGAGGGACCGTGAAAGATATCGTCCTCGACTATCGAGAGCCTCTGCCGCTCCACGAAGATCCAACAACAGGTGATACCGTCTTAAAGTACCCGCCAGCGGTCGTTTTATTCAAGCCTCATCATAGCACTTTCCCCCCCTTCGAAGGCCTTGAAACAGGTGTGATACCCATTGTACCATCGGTGGCGAAATTTGAAGTGATCACTCCACAAGAACCCAGTACAATCACGACGGCAATACGCCATGACACCAGGCTACTCCTTTACGGACTATAAAGCACAAGGTCAAACTATAGAACACGTCGTCATTGACTTGGCGCCACCACCTTCAGGGAAATTAACGGCCTTCAATGCGTATGTCGCTCTTTCAAGAAGCCATGGCCGAGATAACATCCGGATTTTAAGAGAGTTTGATGTGAAATTATTCACAGTTCACCCTTCGCTGCAACTTCGGGACGAGGACGCGAGATTAGATGCCTGCACGATTGCAACGCAAACTCGTTATCAGAGATTGTAGATGAACATAAAAAATTAATTTTAGACTGACCACGTGCCAATGACTCCTTTCTCTCTTGTATGATCACTCGCTTCCCTACTTCTTCCCTAAGGCTAGAAACAAATTATTGCTGGATTCCAGGTCCCAGTTGTGAGAGAAATGATACGAGAAATGGAAAACTATACGGTGACGCGGCAAAGCAGTACGTCCGCGAAAATCTATTTCTTCCTATGCCTTCAACTGCAACACGGTAGATGCACGTTCTATGGTCCAATCCGACCGGTTGACGAGTCCGAGGGGCCCAAATTCAGCACACACCCACACGCTTGGCAATATCGGGTGGACGCAACTCCAATTCAACCTAGGAAAGCTCTCCAGGGGCCAATGGATTCTTCTTGAAGACCACGAATTTTTCTTGGCCGAATCAAGTGAAGGAATATTGCAAAGATTCAAGCTATCCGCTCATTGCGCCATCGAAGACTGCGTCTCTCTAATCGGTTTAAGCCCACCACAAACAATGTTGAATCGGTGGCAACAGTCGAACTCTCTCTTACTTGGCAGCATTGTAACACACCTACCTGGCATGGAATTGTCCCCAGGTACACGTGTTGGCTTCACCTCCAACCACCCATGTTCTCCAAACGGGGGTTATATCATCGACTTTCCAGATACCTTGACTGCACGTGCGGGTCTTCAGCCAAGGGGAAATCATCAACAGCGAATCCGCCGCTCTAGTACAAGAACTCCTCAAACCCGTGGCATCCGAACGATGTAGTGTCTGTGCCGCTACGATGCATCCAACGTCATCTTTTTGCGCACGATCTTCAACCAATCGAAGGAGAAAGGGTCGAGGTCAGAGGTATGGGGGGACAGCATCGTCGATAGCATGCGGAGTGAAATGGGTGCGGTAACAGTCCGGGTAAAAAAGCAGAACGACGATTTTTTGGACGTGGACATAGCGTCCCTTCGTCGGCACTTCATCCTTGGTGATCAAATCATCATTATCCGAGGCGCCTACCAAGACAAACGAGGAACCATTATACGCAGAATCTTTCTCAGCCCTAACCTCAAAATTGTTGGAGCGTTGGAGGTGAAAATGGTGAGTAAGACAACGAAATCATCGAAAGCAACTACATAAAGTTGACGATCAGACAACACCAAGTAATGGGCAAGAAACGGTGCCATTCACTGAATATCTTAGTGGGAACTTCGCGCTGATATCTCCAAGATCCAGGTTCTGTGCGTCGACGTCAGAATCGACACCGGTTCACGCGAAAGCCGTTCTCAAATAATTCCATCTTATCGGCCTAGTCCAGAATGGCTATGCAGACGCGAACTTGTCTCCCGACGACTTGACGTCAAATTTCATCAGTCCAATGCCGCCACCCAAACCGGAGTCGAGGCCATCCAAGCAGGGAACTGTGGCTACATAGAGCTGCAAAGAATGGTTTATCCTAACCAGCTATTCGAGCCTCTGCTAGTGCACACGGACTTTGGGGAGAAGTGTTTCATACCGCCCAGCAAACTTTATCCGTTGGACGCATATATGGATCCGAAGACGAAGGCGATTTGCAGCATTGGATTAGTTGCGGTTCGTGTCGTCGTCATCGGGCCCGATATCTATGGAGAAACGAACAATATAGGTAAATACGCTTACGTTATTCCTGACGGTTGTGGAGGAGAACGCGTCAATGTAAAGATGGAAAGGAGTGAGGGCAATAGCTTTGTCGAAAGAACATTTCCAATAGGAAGTCTCTGTCGATCATTGAACTCTGACGGCTTGATAACACGAGCAACTCGATTTTACTAATTGATAATTACGCTACATTACATTACACAACTAGATGACAAAGTACAGAGGAGGCGGTGTATGTTGCTCGAGGTTTTCTACGAAGGTTTTGGGTTTTTGGTCAGTGTCTTCGGGTTAGTTTATCTTTGTTTGTCTGATCGACATTACATCATCATGTACAGTAGTCACCGGGCAGGGACCTTGCAAGCAAGGTGATTTTTCCAAAAAAATTAAATTACTGTGTTTACTCAACGCGTGACGTCACGCGTCTGTAACCTTTCCTCTTCTCACGCGTCGACGATGCCTGACACTACTCTGAAAACCCATCCTGGGGAGTTTACATGTTTGGCCTTCTCTCTTGACGGAACGTTAGTGTTGATTCTTGCCATCGAAGTATCAGGGTTCATTGCTTGTGGACAGACGCATATACACGGGAGAAAAGGAGAACGTTTTGCGCGCATGGGAGCTGACGAAAGACGATCGTGGCGGCGCAACTGATATAGAGTCAAATGGAGGCATAAACTGTGTTGCTGCATCGGTGCGTGCCACCCTTTAATTGGCCTTGTTTGTAGGAAGTGACATCCACTATTAGGTTGACTGCTGGCTGGCTGCAAGCGGAGACGGAGTCGTTAGAAGATATAAGAAGCACGAGACTTTGCTCGAGGGTGTAGTAGCAGCGGGGGCGCTGTCAGCAAGATGCGTTGCAGTCAATCCCTCTTCGAAATTCGCCGCTGTGGGCTCAGAGTGAGTCTTGTTGTTTGACGACGTGGGTTTTGACGAGTTCGGAAACAGCGACTTATTTTTGATTCTGGTGGATTTGAACGACACGCTGAATCTGCAGAAAGTGGAGGCACACAGAAAGGCGATGCGCCAAATTACATGGCACCCAAAAGAGCATTTACTGGTGTGCCATCCGTCTATCATTTCACAGAACTAGCTAACTTTGTCAGACCACCTCTGGATGCGATGGTGAAATTATTGTTTGGGACACCTCTGACAAAACGCCCACTAAACTCCAACACCTGCCCCTTCTACCAACAATCACAGACACGACGATAAAAGAATTCCTCTTCGACTGTTCTGCAGTCTGGCATCCGTCTGGCGACTACTTTTTCGTGGCTTCCCGCAGTCGATGTAGGTTTCTCTTCATAATTATTTGTTGGTATGGGCTTAAACGCTCACAGCCGTCGTTTCGGTTCGGCGGTCGGATTGGAAGGAAGACAGGACATATGTGAACACCAAACGCTCTGGGCCCGTGACAGCTCTCGCCGTTTCGCCAAATGGCGCATACCTTGCGACCTCCAATCAGTCCAAGCCACCCGCTATCGACATTTGGGATATAGCGAGCCACAAGATCATCATAAGGTGTGATGCAACGACGACCTTGCACTGGCAGCTCTCATAACACAGTTTCAGCCATGATAGTCAAACCCCAAACAGCGGCTTCGTCCACCGTCTCGCTTTCTCACCAATTGCTAACTTATTGGCGTGGGTAATGAGTGACGGTACCTTCGAAATATTGCCAGACGCTATCCCAAAATCGCACCCCGATCCGATTGCTCCTGTTGTGGTAGTGCCTGTGGCCAAGAAGCTGCCGGAAAAAGCAATGGATGAGGTTCTGACGGATTTCAATGCTTTAAACGATCTCGTAGACGACGGTGATGACACGGAAGATGGTCCAGCGCCCATTGACGTCGATCTGGAGGAGACCGACGACGAAGACGACAATGAAAACAGGATAAGAGAAATGGGCAAGTTGTCCTTTCTCACCTGCGACTCTGACTCATACGCATTTGTAGTCAATGTCACCAAAGCCCAGCCGCCATTTCAGCCTGGCGAGACTCCGTTGTCACAGACGAAACGATTCCTAAGTAGAAGTGGTATTATGGACCTTTGATCTGACTGTTGACATCTCTTAGCTATCAACGGGTTGGGCTACATTGAAAGCACGGCTGTCCCAGCACTGGCAGAAGAACAAGAACACAAGTTTATCGAGGTCAAGTTGTTCAATGAATCGAAGCGCAAATCTATCAAGTTTCGGGATGATGTGGGGTACAACCTAGGCTATCTGGGCGAACGGGGTGTTGTCTTCGGCAGCAGCAGCGAGCCGTCACAGGTGTTGTTCAAGCCGTATCTGGAGGACAGCGCCTTGTCTGATTGGACGTATACCCCATCATCTCATATCCTTGGAATCACAGCTGGCGGTTTTCCGCCTCGAGGGAGCACAAGAAATGCAAATGACACAGATGTCGATGGTTTCGGGAATGTTGTTGTTGCCACGGTGGATGGCGCTTTGATTTTCCTGAGCGGTACCGGTCGAGAGAGGCGAATCATAGGTTTGGGTGGGGATGTCGTGACTATGGTCGCTGGTCACGAATGGGTCTTTGTTGTTCACAGAGCTGGTTCGACGACCATTGATGGTAATTCGATCCTAACCATGCTCGTTCTACAGACTCATTCTGTTCTAGGCTTCCAAAATCTCTCTTACAGTCTTATCAACTTTGAGGACTTCAGTGTCCGACAAAGAGGCTTCCTTCCGCTGCCTAAGAAGGCGACACTGAAATGGGTTGGCATCACGGAAGAAGGCGTAAGTTTTTCTACTTTCCTGAACTTGTCCTTGATAGCTTTGGTCTTAGGCACCCGCCATGTTCGATACCACGGGCCGCATCCATGTGTTGACAAAATTCCGAGTGCCACATCATGCGTCCTGGGCACGGATAATGGACACAGAAAGGCTGGAACGGAAGAAGGGCAAGGACGAGTCGTACTGGCCAATCAGTATTTTCGGCAGCACCCTTCTGTGTTTCATTCTGAAGGCGGGTTTATTCCCTTCTTTTGTTGAATACGAAATTTGATCTAATGCCTTGCAGGGACAAGATCCATATCCCAAGAACCCGCTGCCCCCGCCACAAGAGTTGCCCATCGAGATGCCATTCACTAGTGAAAACAGGGCAGAGGAAAAGTAATGTTGTCGTCCCCCGTTTGAATACTTCTACTGACATTTTATCAAGGCTTGAAAGAAATGCGATCCTTGTCGAGATTATGCGGGACGGTTTGGACGACGAGCTAACGAGCGCCGAAATCACCAAGGCCGAGCAATCGATGGACAAGGACCTCGTGTTGCTGATCCAAGGAGCCTGCAAACTCAACCAGACCGCGCGTGCCATTGAACTCGCGAAACTGATCCATAATCCGCTCTTCCTCGACTCTGTTATCAAGATCGCGCATTTCTACAAATTTGAGGGGCTGATGGAAAAGATACAGGCACTGAAAAGCATCCGCGAGGTTGAGGAGGAAGACCGGCTTGTTCTTGCGCGCGAAAAAAGGCGGCAGTGGACAAGACAAGACCCGCTTCCTCGTCCATTAGCTGATCATGGGTATGCGAGTTCATCAGCGCCTACCAATGCGTTCCAGAACTTTGCGCCTCCACCGGCAATATCACGACCAGGTCTTGCGCCAGCCATTCCTGTCAAAGAGACGACGCGATTTGCCGCATTAATGGACGATCCGGCTGCGTTTGTCCCTGAAACCAAGCGGAAGCGTGACGATTTGGAGGATTTCTCGTCGTCGCAAGACATTGCTATGCCGCCGCCCAAACAGAGTGTGTCTCATCCTTTCTCTTATTCTCTGTCGTCTGACTGGCATTGCAGAAGTCAACCCTTTTGCGCGCAAAAACGGGACTGACGCTAAGCGGAATCCGTTCGGGACCAAGGGCAGCAGCAACCGGATCGAAAAAAGCGACAGCTTCTTTGAGAAGGTTGACGCGGCTGAGGATGCGCCAAAGACTAAGCGTATGTCGTTGGTCAGTTGTTTGGTAGCTTTCTTCTTACGATGGTTCTCAGGTGGGCCTAAGGCCAAAGAGAAGAAGGAAGGGCCGAAACAGACGACACTGTTTGGCATGCTCTCAAGTTCACGAAAGTCCAAGTTATCCGAGTCTGAGACGGCAGTCGAGTCGCAAGATTCAGACGTGTCAATGCTGGACGCTTCGTCGGTGATAGAATCACAGCCAGATCTGCCAGAGGAGTGGGAGGAGACGCAGCCAATTGATATGGAGGTACATCTAATAAAGGAAATTCAGCTAGTGGACACGGACTAATGATATACTAGTAATTATATATTTGCGCATTGTAAAATCAAGTTTGCAGCAGTTCGTCCTGTTTCAATTCAAGGATAATAATACATGTTACTGTCGGTATTTAATGTTCCGGGGCTTGCAATTGTGGTCGTGGGGGTTGGGAGCAGTAGAAGTACTCCCGACAATAATTGCATTCGAATGAAACACCCTTCACCGAATTCTTGCAATTCTCTGCGGTGCAGGTCGTCTCTTCCGGCCCGGGCGCGTCCCTGATTTGGATTGGCTGGGAATAGCCTGACTGTGCACATAGCGCTCTCATGATGTAGCGGCAGTTGTCGCACATGGCGACCAGGCCGCGTTTGTGCTGGAAAGCCAGTGTGCTGTAGTTGCCTCCGTGTGGCCACGCCTCAAGCCTGTTCCTCTTGTGATAAGAATAAAACAAAACGACAAAAGTAAACCCACCAGGCCAAAGCCGCGGCATTGGCCTCCGCACAATGCCCAAAAGCGACAAGACATGTCTTCTAGTTGACGGGGTGATGGCTTTGTCCAATCGATCCCCGCTGAGGGCAAAAGCTGGTTTAATGTATCCCAGGCATGGGGCACACCGCTGATTTTGTTGATGTGGCCGGGTCCGCCGGGAAGACTCATGGCCAAAGCGGCATCGAGCGTTGAGTCACTCATAAGACTCCAGGCCACCAGGTACGTGGCGGAGTCAATGACATCCCACCTTTGGCACAAACGTGAGCCGATGAGATGTAGGTTTTGTACCAAGGTCGCCATATCTTGTTGGCGAGAGGCGGGGATGCCTTGAAGGCGTAGTACGGTGACTAGGTAAGCTATAGGCGAGTTAATGATGAGCTGTATGTTTCGGAAATGACGTCTACCGAATAACTCGAGAGCATTTCGCAATACCATAGTCTTGTCCTTGGACCGAGTAGGAACATACGCAACCCCCAGGCTCTTCGAGTTAGGGTTGGCGCCCGCCGACGGTTCGATCCACCAGAAGGGCGCACGTTCGGAATCACTGTCATTCTAAGCTTAAGAGCCTTTGAAGAGAGTTAACACCTACAGTGTGTTGAGATAAAGGGGGGATATGTTTGAAACCTCCTCAACATGCCTCCGAGTAGATCGAGTTGTATATGTCAATTGCCTAAAAACACATAATGAAAAATGCAAGTCCTGAATAGTCGCATACGTCTGTTTCCGTGAATGTGGCCGGTAAAGGCAATGCAAAATCGAGATCTGGGAGTTCATCCCAGAGCTGAGTAGTACTATGCCATTATAGGATATAGAATGAATAGTAGTCCACCGCCGGCAGTAGAGAGTATAGAAGAGCTGAGCTGAGAAGCTTGAGAAATGCTGAGATGAGACGACTGCCCTTATAGTGAGTCCAAGTCTTAGACATAGCTGAAGGTGACTCGGACATCCGCGTCATCTCCTTAGAAAAAGTCTCGCATTTTTGTAATAGCATGGCGGGTAGGGAGCAAGCAAAGAGTGATGACAGGTCACGAGGTGGCGATTCATAGATGCTTAAGTAAGCTTGAGAAGACTGACATGATCGTGATATGTATCACTGTCAGAGTCAAGATATTAAGTACACCCTGCTCTGAGTATGTACTCCTGTGATCATACTCCAGAGTCCCAAACTGGGACATTATAGCCATACCCAGTGGTACACGCTGAAGCCGAAGCACAAGCTGATTGTCGGGCCGAAGGTGTGGTGCTCATCACGGGACTGATGGGTCTCATGAGTCACTTCTGCGACAAACGAACAAACCGTGTTCGTTCGTTAAGGATAATGCTCCTTGAGCTACCCGCAGAACTTATCTCGTTGCTGTATACCTGGCTCGACATAACGGACATACTATCCCTCCGCCAGGTATTGTTTCTTACTCATAGACGTTGGTTCACCACAATATATCAGGCATGTCGACTTTTACAAGAGCATGGCCAAACCAGAGCCTTATGGATTCGCCTATTCAAGCGCTGCTTCTACGACAAACCTATGCCGCCTTCGCTGATGAACTACACCACCTTCGATGCCGCAACGCTTGAGACACTTGCTCGCAGGATTTCGACCCTATCTCGTCGCAAAGACTCAAGTCCAATTATTTCACATGCTTGGCGGACACAACTTCCTCGGAGCATCCAATGGGTTGGGCTCGCATCTTCAAGGTGGCTAATTGTTGCTTCGTCCGACCACCAAGTTAGCACCCTGCAATGCTGGGATCTGACCCGCGCCTTAAGCCTCAATGGGGGCCATTCCCCTGTCGTTCAAATATATCTTCCTGCTCAAGTAAAGACAGCCAAGTTGGAAATCCAACAGTCTGGAATCATTATTGCTCTTGGTTTAATGAATCCGTGAGGTCGACTTCGCACGGAAAGGTTTGCTGACAGTTTCCAGCTCCACAGCCCTATACGTTGTGTCATTGAAGAGAAAATCTGACCGTGTTGTCTTCACTCACGAATATAGTCTCATCGGTTCATCACATGTTCTTATGCTTCACGATGCTTGGGTTGGGTGTGCAATCCGGGAAGCATTGAACGAGCCACATATAGTCAACTGGAAAACTGGATCTATCCTTAACATCGAACCTCCGCCTGGTGGTCTGGACATTCTTAGCCGTCGTGTAAGCTATATCGGCTTTACCAGTTATCTTACTCATGCCCTCGCAGAGTGTACCCCACCTGATGACAATGTGGACCGAGGATACTCTTGTTATCGTCCGTTTCAACGCACTCGAATTTTATCGCCGTGAGGGCGATAGGTTATTATTCCTTCGCCTCTTGGAGCTCCAAGATGAAGAGGATCACATCCATGAAGTCACTATTTGCCAGCATTGCGACCCCACGTACTTGCAGTTGGCTATCATCGCGCAATGTGACGTTCAATTCCTGACTCTCAGTGAGGACAGCCATGGCATCGTGCTAAAACGCATCAATGCCGAAAATTTTGTCCCATACGCCAATGCTGGTACCCCACTTTTCCGTCTGAGAACGAGCCAGTCTGGCACCCGCGTCATATGGATTTCAACACTTAATTGGTTTTTCGGAGTCAGGCCGTCGTTCGCCATCTTTGCGCTCCCCAAACAACCGCTTAACCCCCATTCGACATCAGCTCTGACCTGGAAAGACGACGATGTTCATGCACCAGCGTTGTGGGCATTTTCCAACGTCGAGTATGACGATATACTGGGCTTAACTGTGATTGGAAACCACTTTGGGGAGCTGGCTGTGTATGACCATGTGGGCGGCTACGCAAGACTCGTTGGCAGTTCTTTCGGGGCGGCTCCTGTTCTTGAAGCTGACCACACTGTCATTTCTGAGGCATTAAACGAATGCGTGATTTCTAGTGTTTGTTCGCTTTGTTTCACGCGAGCTTGTGTGCTAATATCTTATCAGTTACCTTTCTATCTCAACCTCCCATTACCCGTCACTCGAGTGATGACCCATGCAGAACTCATGTCCTCCCGTGCAGCTAAATGGGCCAAAGACAAACTTGATCTCAACCCACAGTGTTGGATGCGGACAGATTTCGCCCCCGACAAAGTACTCGACGAGACCGATCGATTCCCTAAACACGACACATGGGAAGGTCAACCTGGCGACAATGCTTGGATGCTATCGTACATGTATGGGTTTCCTGGCGAAGCGTTACCCCAAGCTTTCAGAATTAATCAGGGCCGACATGATCCAGAGGACGACGCCATTCTTTTCCGCCTTTGCCCTAATGGATCCAATGTGTCCCCAAACTCCTGGTCGTCGCGGTCAGTGGGACGGTATATCTTTGCGACACCAAGATTATACCGATCCTATGAGTTCTTTCTCTTGCCTCAAGACTTCCGCCCCTCGGGTAATCTTTCCGTACGTGAAGCCTCTTGGTTGGGGCAGCAACCTTATATACAGTTAACTGCACTCGGACAAAGGAACGCCTATCTTCAAGGCATGAAAGAACCAAAATATCAAAGTGACAGTCGTTGGCGAACATGGCTTTCTCGTCACGAGTAACTGACCCACCATTGACACTGTACTTACTACTACTCACTGTCGTCTAAGCATCCTAATTTCAGTCGGGAAGTCGAGGAGGGTGAATATACGAGGCAACATTCGAGTCGTAAGATCTAGACATATCGACGCGGGAGGAGACACAGCTAATGAATATAGAGGAAAGGAGCATTTGCCTGACTTAACCTAATGATAGAATGTTAAACCCAGCTACATCAAACTTATATTTGCGCAAAGTACATTTTTGGTCGTTCGTTGTCCACTGGTCAACATTTTGGGTTGTAAATTCGACCGTAGCAGCAGGGTGAAAATATCGCAAGTGGAGTCTAACGCGGGTAGAATCAGAGCAAGTTCCAGAAACGCGGTGGCCAAGCTATGATTAACCATGCTTTTCTTCGCGCCCCATGATAGCATCTGTAACAGAAAGCTCCTGAAAGAGGTTGAGTTAGACCCAGGGTCAGAAAAATACACATACCTCTGGCGCGAATGGCCACTCGTCGAATGCTTTCACGAGCAGCTTCCAGTCGTTGAGGGACAGGTTGCGAACGATGGTAGATGGGTTGATCAGGCCAGGTTCCGACCCCGATATGCCTGTCAGCAAAGTCTGCGCGTTGGGGGCAAGGAACCTTGGTTTATTGGTCAGCGATCTCGTTCGACAAGCGAGAGCTCACGGTAACGCAGTCTTGATTGGTTTTGCACGGTGGACGTACAGATGGCGGAGACAATAGTCCCACTTGTCGAGCAGGCCAGGGGCGATGACCTGGTGCTGTGAGGGCCGGAAGTTTACGGCGACGAAGGGGTTGCCGTGACTCTTTGGGGACTTGTTGAGGGCGTGCATTTTCAGGGCATAGGCGGTGGGTATTGGGTGGAAGTGATCGTTGTAGGGCTCAGTCGCTTTCATGGGGAGGGCAAGTTGGGACTGAGCAACTGCGGCAGAGATGATGCTCAGTTTGCACCTGATGCGGTCCTTCGTGCCTGTTACGCGCTGGGACCAACAATCAATAATGACTAAAAGCAAGAGGGGGACAACAAGCCATACATCCCATAAGGTTTCGCTCATCATGAAGCTCAGCGGAACGCGGCCGTATTTGAAGAGCCATTGGCGATCTGGTATACTGCGTAATAGCTGAGCCAGCAGTTGTTCACCAGATACATTATTCGGGAGATGGGAGATGAACTGGAGTTGGGAGTGCATTGTGTCCCATGGCTGGGTGTCGATGTGACCAAGCACGCCGTCTTTCTGCAGTTTCAAGTATGTTATCCACAGCTCACCGCCGAGCTCGATCACTTTCAACCTGCTATCTGTCGCTTCCAGAGGCTGCAAAGCATGACGCGCTGCACATAAACAACAAGACACGCACGAACCTTCAGGTAGGCCAAATAGCTGGGCTCCTTCTCCAGCACAATAAGCTGCTTTATCCTTGTTTTGGGCAGAGCAAGTAGCGCACGGGTGAGCTGGCCTGGCCCAGGAAAGGCCTCGACAATTGTTTTGTCGCGGGAGTCGCTGGGAACAAATGCATTTGCTACTTGTGCAGCGGTCTTCGGGTTTGCGAGCGAGACACGGTGGCTGACTGTGCGGTTCACTGGGGGGAATGTTTTGCGCCAGAGGTCTTGCGGAGGAAGATTCACATAGTCTGGGGCGGTCGAGTAGACACGGGTTGTGAAGAGCCTTCTCCGACAACAACTCAAGCACAACATTTTTATCCGCGTGACACACGAGGTCACGCACATTGAATGGCAAGAATTTGTTCACCGTCTTGCGACACAGTCCTCTCCGGGCTCAAACTACAACTGAACGCAACACATGAACCACCCACTCCTCAAGAATCCAAGTAGCTCGATTACCGAAGGTCGTCACATTTGTCACGTCATCTAATCTTCTTGTGAGACAAGCTGTTTGTTTCTTTCCAAAATGCTCCTGACCTTACCTCCAGAACTTTTTTTCTTCATCTACATCGAGCTTGATATCACTGACACTTTATCTTTTCGTCAGGCAAGTGGTGGTCCACCGAACCGTGCCCAGATTTGAACCAACAATTCTCTCAGACATGTCGCCTTTTACAAGGGCATGGCTGCACCAAAGCTTTGTGGATTCGATTATTTGAGCGTTTATTCCACGACAGCCTTATACCGCCTTCGCTTATAAACTACACCTCTTTTGATGCCGCAACGCTTGAGACACTCGCTCACAGGATTTCGACCCTATCTCGTCGCGAAAACTTGCCTCCAACTGTTTCACATGCTTGGCGAACACAACTGCCTCGGGGAATTCAATGGGTTGGGCTTGCTGCTTCGAGGTGGCTTATTGCTGCTTCATCCGACCGCCAAGTTAGCACGCTACAATGCTGGGATTTGACTCGCGCGTTCAATGGGGACGATTCTCCTGTCGCTCAAATATACCTCCCTGCTCAAGTGAAGACCGCCAAGTTAGAGGTACAGCAGTCGGGAATCATCCTAGCTCTTGGCTTGATGAATCCGTGAGGTCCACTGGGCCTAAATCAAAGTTTCTGACAATTACTAGGTCCACAGCTTTATACGTTGTTTCCCTGAAAAGAAAATCTGACTGCGTTGTCTTTGTCCACGAATATAGTCTCATCGGTTCATCACATGTTCTTATGCTTCACGATGCTTTTGTTGGGTGTGCAATTCGTGAAGCATTGAATGAGCCACATATCGTCAACTGGAAAACTGGAGCCCTCCTCGATATCCAACCTCCGCCTGGTGGTCTCGACATTCCTAGTCGTCGTGTGAGTCGTATCCGCTTTGCCAGTTATCTTACTCATGCCCTCGTAGAGTGTACCCCACCTGATGACAATGTGGACCGAGGATACTCTTGTTATCGTTCGTTTCGACGCACTCGAATTTTATCGCCGTGAGGGCGATAGGTTATTGTTCCTTCGCCTCTCGAAATTTCAAAATGAAGAGGATCGCATCCAGGAAGTCACTGTTTGCCAGCATTGCGACCTCGCGTACTTGCAGTTGGCTATTGTCGCTCACTGTAACATTCGACTCTTGACTGTTGGCTGGGATAATCAAGAAATAATAATCAACGCCGTCAGCATCACAGATTTCTCTCCATACGAACTGGGCTTCCCAATCATTCGTCTTGGAACGAGCCAGTCTAGCACCCGCATCGTCTGGGTCTCTGGGCATGGCTGGATTAAATCTGGAATTAAGCCATCATTGGCGATTTTTTCGCTCACTAAGCACTCAACATCAGCTCTGATGTGGAAGGACGAAAATGTCCATGCCCCAGCGTTATGGGCTTTCTCTATCGTCGATTATGACGATATACTGGGCTTAACTGTTGTTGGAAACCACTTTGGGGAGTTGGCTGTGTATGACCATGTGGGCGGCTACGCAAAGCTTGTTGGCAGTTCTTTCGGGGCGGCTCCTGTTCTTGAAGCGAACCGCACTGTCATTTCTGAGGCACTGGATGAGTGTGTGATATCGGGCGTAAGTATGTCTGTTTCGTTTCTCGCATACTCGTCTTGATGATCTCTTATTAGTCACCTTTCCATCTCGACATTCCTTTCCCTGTTACTCGAGCAATGTCCCACGCAGAGCTCGTGTCTTCTCGTGCGGGTCGCTGGGCACAGGACAACCTCGACTTAGATCCACAGGTGTGGATACGCACTAATTTCACCACCGATACAATTGTCACTAAGAAGGATCGATTCATCGACTATGACACGTGGGAAGGCCAGCCTGGCGATCAAGGGTGGTTGCTCTCGCACATGTATGGGCTTCCTGGCGAAATAATACCCCAGGCTTTTGCCAGTTTTCACCCTGAATCCATTGACACCACGCATGTCTACTGGCGGAATATCATGCTTTTTCGCCTTTCGCCAAATGGAACGAACATCCCTTCGTCCCAGGGCTTTTCCTCGTCGCGGTTAGAGGGACGGTACATGATCGTTGCTGACATGGAGGAATCTCATTTCTGTCTCTTGCCTCTGGGCTTCCGACCGTCAAAACAGTTTTCGGTGATGGCTGCATTTCAGTCCTGCCATTCACAATTTCCTACGCGGGTAAGGGCATCTGAGGAAAGACAAGCCTATCTAAAGGGTTTAGAAGTGGATTCAAAGTATAAGGGCGACGCTCGTTGGCGAACACGGCAGCGCGTATTCCAGAGCTGGCGACTCAGGGACTTGGACGATCTAGATTCAGAATAATAATAGTTTTTTGGGGTGTCTCGCACTGAAGTATACTCTTGCTTAAGACGCGCCAGATTGTCGATGGGGAAGGAACGTGACCGTGGTGTGACATATGACCGCAGCGACTTCGTTGACGCGCCCATGTCGGATTCCTTGCGACGGACCCACTCGGCTCCCGCCCCCTCTGCTATCCGACCCCCTCCCCCAGCCGCTCTCCCGTCATCATTGAGACATTCGGAAAGTCACCCTCCCCCCTCGACTTCGGCCCATTCCCCTCAGTTGGTACCACCAACTTTACCTTCTACTCCCACTACCGCCACCGCCCCGCCGACTACCAATCCCTCGGTTCACACGCGCATTATCACCTTCTTTGGCTATGGCCGCGGGGCCTCCCGCTCGCGAAAGCAGCTTGTCTCGCTGTGGTATAACCTAACCTGGGGTTTTGTGCAGGTCGGCAATGTCATCCATAATTTTTCGGAAGTGCTTATTCTACAAACAGATCGTACTCATTATCACGATGCTCTCCATCGGTGCCACAACCGAGAGCAAGACGAGTGAGCAGCACTGCTAGTCTAACATTGGCTGAGGCTGATATGCTGTCATAGTTCCCGGCCGAAGCGAGTTTCTCGCCTGTCGCTCGCTCTCTGCGTGGGACTGCACCTACATCCTGCGTGTCTGTTTGTCATCGTCGATGACATACTGGGGCTGGCGAAGGGACCGACAAGCGTGCGTCTACAGCAACAACTCCGACAGCAACTGTTTTTCTAACTTCCCTTTGTAGACACACTCGTGCTAACGACCCCGAGCGCCCGAACACGCGCCATCCCAATGAACCCGCTCCAATGCCCCCCAGTCCTGGTGAGATCGCCGCCATTCAAGCCGCTCTACCCCACACCGTGCTCTACTCTCGGTATGATGCACGCCAACTGGCATCTATTCATCCTCATATTTCTTGAGGTTATCGATCCTGTCTTCGCTCTTTACTCTCAGCTGGTTTCTCACCGGTGAGAATGAAGCATGGTCTGAAATGATAGTCTGACTTGTCCAGCACACATATTGGCCTACAGCTCGGTCCACACTTGCCGCAACTCATCACCCCACATCTGGTGGCTCACATTCGGTGCGTTTTGCTTATTATGTGCTAGCTGCTATCGCTCAATCTCGGAATAGGAATTCTCTGCATCATGTATTTGTGGGTCGAAGCATTTGGTCCATATAAAATCCGCTGACACGGTTTCACAGGGTGGTACTCGAGGTCATTATACTAGGATTTGTGGTCTTTGTCGTTGCGCCCATCGTATTCGTAAGTGCATTGTGTTGTCACAACTCGTGTTTTCACCTCCCGCCGCAGCTGTTCTGGAATGTTGTGCTTATCTGTCTTGGCCGCCACCCAATGCAGAATCCCGGTTTGATACGGCCCGATGTAGGGAAGCTCAGCCAGTCCGTTGTGGACAAAATTCCGTTGGTGATGTACATTCCTGCCCCACCGGACGCCGCCCCAGGCAGTCTCCCTCTCCCTCAAGCCGTATATTCGTATCCTCCCAAGGCCCCAACTGCTCAAGCGCCACCTCGAAAGCACCGCTTCAAGTTTCTGCGAAAGTCAACAAAGGCAGCCGACCCTACTGCTACTGCCTCTGACAAGCCAGAAGAAACCGAGCAGGACGCCCCTGAAGCGTGGGAAGACAACTGGGAGCGGACGACCGGGTATCCGTTTGTGATGCTGGAGAATAACCGCGCGTCGTGTGCGATCTGTCTGATGGACTTTGAGGAGCCCAAGAAGAAAGGAGAGAGCGAGGCGGCACCAGCACCGGAGTCATCGGGTATTCAAGAAGTCCCCGTCGAGCCGAGCGGGCCGGAGGAGTCTGATGGCACGCTGAGACTGCAAGACGCTGGTGAGGGTGCCCAGCCTCTGCGATTGCTTGCGTGTGGCCATGTGTTCCATGCGCCGTGTCTTGACCCATGGCTTACGGATGTGTCGGGCCGGTGTCCCGTCTGCCAGCGACCAGTGGAGATCCCAAACGAGCCGGGTAAGAAGAAGGGGGCGAGGAGGAGACGCAATGCCTAGTTGTATCAAGTAGCGTAAAGGTTTTCTTATTTTATGGTACACTACTCAAATAAAATGTATGGCCCAGTTAGTGTGGAGGCAATAAATATCACTGGCGTAAAGTTGTTTACTTTTATCGTACACTTGCTCGTCAAGTTCAGACCCCACGCACAACATCGGGGTACGTTGATGCGATGAGCTGGAGCGAGTCAGAAAGAAGAGCATGGCGTGCGAATGGTGACCCACCCCGAACAAAGCCGGTGCTCTCACGGCCAGCACCTGGGGGTCCTCGCCCAGACCGACGAATATCGTTGAGACCCCTGCCTCGATCGCAGAGGAAAGTGTTATTGCTGCATTGGAGATATCAGCATTCCTTCATTATGGCTTTGAACAGGACGACTGACAGCACTGCATCCCGATGAGGAAGGCAAAGAGCAGCACCGGGGCGGTGTAGTCCCCGTTGGCGTTGTATGCCGGGTGGGTGAACCGGAGGTAGAGATAGGAGAACAGGCTGGAGAGCAGGCCGACAGCATAGGCGCCCCAGGTCAGCGCTGTGCAGTCAGATGAACAGAGGCGAATGAGGATTTATAGTACGCACTCATGTTCACTAAAGAGTCATTCACGATGGCGGAGACACCACGGTCGACGAGCAGTCGCCAGGTGTCTTTCGCGGCCTCGATGTAGGGCTTGCCATAGAGCGCTGGTGCATTGTGGTTAGCAAGACCAGAGGAAAAAAAGAGTCAAACACTCACCGATCTCGATGTAGGCGTACCGATTAAAGTATTCTACCAGACTCTCGATCATACCGACGAAGCAGGCAGCGCAGCATGCGAGGCACGCCTCCACCGCTATAAACACCGAGTTACACGTTTCATGCAAGAACAAGGAAACGAAGACTCACGATGGCCGTCTGCGTTGGCAGAGTTCTCTGCGGCACGGAGAAGCATCCTTAGGAGCTCCAATAAGGTCACAATAAGAGAGCCAAACGCGATGGATCCCAGGGATAGTGTCGAAGCGCGGCCGAGGGCAGACAAAGTAGGATTTTTCGGCTGAACGGCACGTGAGAGCAGGTAGGCTGGACGGGCAAATAGAGTTTACCATGGCGCCGCCATCACTGCCCCGAGGGCCGAAGTAATACCAACACCCGAACGGTCCTAGAATATAATCGCATCACAAAATGACCCGGTCAATAATGAATGCACATACCACCAGCGAGTGTTGCGAGAGCGACGTTGCCGACGACTTGCGAGGTCCACAGGAACGAAAATACAGAGTAGAAGATCAACCCAGCGACTTTACCGGATGAGCAGGAGGTTCCGTTAGCACAAGCTGGTTGCCCGGGTCAAACTTGGTAGGTAAACAGAAAGCACGCGCACAGGGATTGCCGGGTGTGTACTTCGAGTAACTAAAGCTTTCGATGAGCAGATGGCAATGAGTCAGTGCAGTTACGTACATTGCGATGGAAGTGAATGTGAACCAACTGAAAGAGGATGAACACGGCCACGGCGTGATATAGGACATACACAGCCAAGGCAGCTTGAATGAATCTAAGAGTCATCAGCGCCGAACAATTGGATCGGACGGGTCACTCACAGCGACGCGAAAGCGACGACATAGACCGAGATGTGGTGCTTGGCGACATCCATCACCTACACGCGGTCTCAGCATGGACGGAGAAGCCACAAAAACACCCACGATTTGCAGAAGCAATGCTGCTAAGGGAATGCGGGACTTGAATCCCCAGTATGAAAGGACGGAGAATAGAGCAATTATGGTGAATCTGAAGCGCTTAGGATATGGGGTTAGGGTGGACAGGTAAGGAATGCGTACATTATCGCGCCTGAAAAGTCGTGTTATCAACGAATGCAGTTGCACTTGGGCACGTACCAGAGTAGTATTTCGTTAACCAGTAGTACACCGCAATTCCGCTGCAGAAACTCAGTGAAGCCCAAATAGACCCGGTGACCAGACGGACATGTTCAACAAGATCGAAAGGATGAGCGTTATATGCATGATGACCTTGGTGAACGCGCGGACGAGCATCAGGTAGGCGGAGGACAATAATAGCGCGGCGGCCGTAACGAGCAGGAGGAGATAGACGGTGCTTTGGTTAAGGGAAATGTGTGTGCCAGAATTGCCCTTCCCCAGCCCACCGCCATCTTGGCTAAGCGTTGACCAGTCTTTCAGAACTAGAACTGACACTCCGACGAAGCCAAGAAACTGCGGAAAATCAGCTAAAAGCAAAGTGGGCGCAATGCGAGTGACGCACTTGCAGAATGAAGAGGATTAAGAATATCGGGTCTTGGATGCGCTTTTTGGGCTTGAAGCGCTCGTATTCGCCCTTGGAATCGTTGTTGAAGAAAGGCTGGGATGGTGGGGCGTATTGTTCAGCATATTGTTGCGTCGGGCCCATTCCCTGGAACTCGTAGCCCTGCTGATACTGTTGTTGTTGCTGCCATTGCGGTGGTGGTGGCTGCTGCTGGCCCCAAGACATGCTGGTGGTTGAAGAGAAGACGGAAAGTAGATCAATTTGGCGGTGCACGATGTCATTCCTCCGGTTATCGCCAGGTGTCAGCCAAATAAGATATAGGTCTAGTACAATACAACTAATTACAGCTAGTCGTACACTGCGTTATGTCTGACCATTCTTGAACCTTACAACGAGGACGGTCACATTGTCAGTGGTATGGTTGTCCATGGCATGCTTCAACAAAAGCTGGCTCGCAACCTGTGCGTCGGTGACATTGTGGATGAGGTCAACAGCTGCCTGGTCGCTAGTCACGTCCCAGAGCTAAGCAGAGTCAGCAAAGATTGAGCAAATGATGAGATGGCAACTCACGCCATCACATGCAAGAATCAAAAAATCATCTTCATCGCAGAGCTCAGTTTCGGTGGTATATGGGGCACCCACAACGAAGTCTTTCATTGAGGAGTCTCCCAGACTCCGCGTGACGGCTAAAACGCCATTGACCCGCCCACTCATGACGAAACCACCGGCGTCAATGATGCGTTTAGCCTCTTGTTTATCCGACCCCTTATGGTCGTAGGTCAATCGAACCGCGATTCCACCGCGACACAGAACGCCTCTCGCATCTCCAGCGTTGGCGCAATAAAGAACGCGTCTGGTTGCCGAGGGAGGTATGACGACATTGATACCTTCGGCGGACCCTTTCATAGATGAGGTGGGCGATTGGGAACGAGGAGTCTTTGGTGTTGGTGAGGTAGAGTTCTTGGGAGAGCTGGGGCCACTGGCCAAGCTCTTGAATGCTTTGCGGATTCGACTGCCGGTAAGCGACTGGCGCTTTTTCTTCTTCTTCCCTGCTGATTCGTCTCCGGATGGGCTACCCGTGCTCTCGTTACTGCTCATGCTAGCAAGATCGTCGTTTTCAGAGGAAGGGGGGAGGAATGGCTGTTGGCCGTGTTCGTCTTCGATGCGGAGAAATGCGGTAACCGCTGTGCAACCGGAATGGATTTTGCCTTGGGACTCTTCACACATGCGCGATAAACTCTCATCGACATCGTGGAATGTCTGGTTTAGGACGTCTGGAATTGGCAAAGCATGGAGCTTCTTCATACATGAGAGCAGGTACTAAGCCGGAGATGAGTGCCGAAAAAGAGAGTCGTTGGAGATAGATGACGCACCGAGTGGAAGTTGTTGCCACACCACTCTGCCGCATGCTTACCAGCGTGTCCATCGAAAACGGCAAAGAAACCCTGGCCGCGAACATTGGCGAAATCGACAACGAACGAGTGGGCATCTTCCATAGTTCGCCGGGAGCCCTTGTCCTCCGAGATTCCAACCTGGTAAGCAGAGTTTTTGGTAGAGTGTCGATTTAACACCTGAGAAATAGTGAGCACCACACAAAGAAGACGCGTTGGACATACGCCATATGTGTCAAGCTCCGCCGTTGTTATGGACTTCGAGCGGGCATTGGGGGAATCCGAGAAGGGCATCGCGGTCGTTTGAAAGAGAGAGAGTATTGGAGGTCAAAGCAGCGGATACAAAGGTAATTTATAGCAAAGCCCAAGCTGTTGTGCTGTGGAGAAGCATGGACCAAGCAACTTGGTGAAGGACAAGACAATTAGATCACGTAAGCCGTGACCACACAACTTGACTTCGCTCCGCTGTGCATGTCCAGTTCCACCGCTGCGAAGCCGTCGTTAACCGGTGGTTCGTGGCTTTCTCGCCAGCTTATTGCACTCTCACTTTCATCTAGTCAGAATCAAAGCCCGAAAGGGAGCTGTCAAGGCCCAAGCAAAGCACGAGCCCAGTGGTATGCTAGATGATCGAAACAGCATCTCTCATTTTCTGACACAGCATAGTTTTTAGAGACCAACTCTATAAACATCTCGAGACTGTACCAGAAAACGACTTTGATTCGTTCACTACCAAGCTAGTCCAAGCAGGATCCACTCTAGAATACCTCAAATATGCAGATGCCCTTTTCGAGATCGTCCTCGTCGGTGGTCTTTTGCAGCCAGGTGGCAGTTACGTCGATGATGGCGCACCCGTATCGCCCTTCACAATCTTCAATGCGAAGGAGCCAGCTGAGGTGGACGACCTAAAGAAATACGTTGAGGTTTTGAACAAGTTGATCCGGAGGTCTGTCGCCATGACTCTTTTTGTGCATTTCTAACCCCCAAGCCGGGTTACAGATACAAATATCTTCAGAAGCCACTTGAGGAGTCATCGTTACCGACTCTCCTCCAATATGTCCATCGTTGGTCTCCCGCTCAGAAGGACAAACTGGCCTATACTACTGGCCTGCTTCTCTCTCAAGGTCTTGCCAATGCGTCGTGTCTGCAGAGTCTTACCAAAGATCATCTCATCAAAGACTGTAAGCTCCTGTGTTTTTACTATTCCCATCACTAATCGATTCACCAGCTTTATCGGTCTCCGTTGTCACTTTGATTTTCAAGGCATACCTTGTCGATCAGTCTATGGATCACCTTGCAGGCACTCTCAAGCGCGGGGGAATCAAAGATCTTTTGTTGTTTTTCCCTCCGAATAAGCGCACCAACCAAGAGCTCGAAGAGCACTTCAAGAAAGCCGGTCTCGTGAACGTTGCAGAGTGGTGGGCTAAGCGCCAATCAGCAGTCATCAAAGACAGCATTATCAAAGACCTCCGCGAGTCGCTCGAACGCGAAGATACTCCGGAACAGGTCCGTTTCATTTCCTCGATATACCTTGGTAGACGCTCAGGCGAATTCAGATTGTCGCGTCCATCAAGGCTCGTCAAGAAGAGTCGCCTCTTGCTGAAACGGAGCTTGTTTCGTGTATTTGGCAGGGCCTCATGTGAGTGAACCGCCTCTGTCGCTGCTCATTTACCCGTCCATCAAGGGCTTCGGTAGACTGGAGCGCGCGGCCGGACCAGATCGAAGGTCTGGCTTTGCGAGAAGTCGGCGTGAGGATCAGCACCTTGCTCTGCGCAACCCTATGTGCTAACCCCTGGCCTGGTAGAAATATACCCCCATCATCCAACCCTTCTGCAACGGTGCAAAGACCGAAGTCGCGCTGATCAACGTAGTTCAAGTGTATTGTTATGAAGACACACGCATCATCAAAGCCTTTCCGCAAATTCTCAAAGTAACGTCTCGTGACCTTTCTTTTGAGTTGTTGATGTCTTGGGAATAGGTTCTGTATAATAAGGACTGTATCTCCGACCAAGCAATCATATACTGGCATCAGAAAGGCTCCAAGCCTCAGGGCAGGCAGCATTTCCTCAAGAGCACAGAGGCCCTCGTCAAAGTTAGCCTTTGTTATCTGATAACTCGCTTACTCACGTTTTATAGTACCTGCAGGAGCAGGAGGACGACAGTGACGAAGACGAAGACGAATAAATAGACCCTGTACACTCGCAGCTTTTCGAATCCATCCACATTTTTTCCAGTACAAAAGGCGTAGCTAACGGAGAGTATACTATTTTAGACCGGGAAGAGAGTAGGTACACAAACAAATAAACACACAGCAACAGACACACAAGATCAGACTCTTTTGTTTTGGATGATAGAAAAATGTATAATTTACCACGCCTCTGGCATGGACGAAAAATCTCCCCAACCATTCGAAGAGGTCATTTGGAGGAAAATACCATCCGAGCCATTCACAGGCAGCCCGAGATCAGACAAACTCTGTAAAAGCAGACACATTAAGACGACTCAGGCAGACAAAAAAAAACGCACTTGTTCTTGGAGCCACAGCGGGATTGCTGACGGGCTGAATATCCCACGGTCACTGGGCCACTGGAAGCCGAGTTCCTCGAGCGTGAACGGGGCAGGCAGCGCTGGGTCGACATAGGTTGGCGAGACAATCAGACGACCGTCGGCAAGCAAAGGCGGAGGCGGCATCGTCGGGTTTGGCGTGCTGATCCCACTGTTCATCCCCACTTTGCGGCGGAGGTTGGCAAGCATAATGCGAAGCGTGAGCGCGTATCTAATCAGATCAGATCAAGATTTTCGCAAAATCTGATAACAGACCGTTCAGCAGCAACATCGCTCAGCAATTGCGCAAGCTGCTCAACTTGGGCAGTTATCGCGCCAAGATCGAGTTCAGCAGGAAACAGGTGCGCCATTTTAAGGAGGAACAGGCCTGAAAAGGCAGCTGTAACGAGACTATCGTGGACAGCATACCGTAGGGCAGCACTGTAAAATACTAAGTACAGTCTCACGAGCAACAATGGGAGTGACGAACCGATATTCAGATGAAGTTAAGAAGATGGAAAGACAGTTGAAAGCTGCATCTTTTGCTTGAAAAGCGAGTTCTCGCTGTTCGAAAGGCATCTTGTCCCATGCAACACCGCGCAAGGCGACACAGACAAGCCACAGCTTCGCATAGTGCAGCTCCCCTGCCAGGATCTTACGCAGAAGCGAATTTTCGTCCATCGTTTGGTCTCGGAACAGATGAATAAAATGGATGGTGATGGGGGCAAAAATAAACTCACCGTGCAATTGATCGCAATCGTTCCACCACTTGTCGAGTGCGACGTTCGCGCGCCGAATGAATGCCAGGGTGTTATGATTGACTTGTCCGTTCAACGGCGCGAGCGTCTCGTAAATCTGAGCTGCAGCACCCGTCAGCAGAGCAGTGTAGAATTCCAAAGTAGAATGTACTCTTTTGAGCAATGAGCTCGACCTGGGAGACCAGTCTGACGTCCGTTGGAGAGGCCATGGGGTGGTTGAGGAGAACGCGGCAATGGCGAATAGAATTTTCATCTCGGAGGACAATGGGCCGACCAGTGCCGAGACTCATCCTGAACGATGTCAAACCGACAAGGCCGGAATGCAGCCAAAAATACGCACTGATGGTCAAACCAATACAAACAGAGCCAGATCCGCGCAGAGATCACTACAGCGAATTAATGCGAGTTGTCGTACGGAAGGGAAGAAAACATACCAAGATCCCTTTCCTCCTCCTCTGACCTCTTCTTGCCGCTGTCGTCTGCTAGCTTCTCCAGGGCGCGATGCAGACCAAGATCGAGGGCCATTCTCATGGCATGGCCACTGGGAAGCCAGCCATTAGTGCTCCAAGCGGCCAACAACAGCATGCCTAGTTTGTTGTGTCATAGTGTAGATAACATCTGAGCAAACGGACCTTGGACAGCCTCTTTGCGAACCACAGGACCGAAAAGGGAAGAACGTGCGATTCCCTGTGCTTCTTCCAGACATTTGTAGAAGGTTGGACTGAGAGGGCCATTGCCGCTCCTAATCTTGCCGGCGACTGCAAGAATAGCATCGAAAGTCCATGGGGTGCGCTCCATCAGACTTTCATAAGTGTCATAGACAGGGTCGAAGAGCGGGATGAACAAATGGCATCCCGAAAAGAATCTAGAGAACAGGGTCAATAGTCGGCTGCGAGTCAGATGGGTGAGGATTTTACATGTTGTATAGCTCCCTTGCCTCAGAATCGCTGACGAGGCCCTGAACGAGAAATTTAGGCGAGACAGATGAGTGGAGTAAATAGACGCGCCTTCTCGACGACGTGTGGGAAGGCGTTGCGGGGTATAGGCTCCGCACGCTTTCTTTTCTTGACTCTGGTGTAATAGTTAGCCACGAGATGCAAGTGGGTGGGAGGATAAACCTCGGGGGAGCGGCCGATGGGGCGGCAGCAGCCTCAGCAGCGGCATTGGCAAGGCCTTGGAGGGCTTCAATGGGGGCATTGAGGGTTGCTCGAGGAAGTGTGTCTTCTGATTCATCGTCAGAGGAAGGGGCAGTGCTGGGGACTATGCCATAAGTCGCGTATTTGTGTGGTGGAGGAGCGAATCCAGGCAACGGCGGAAATGACTTGTGCTCTACATTGCGAGGAGGTGGGGGCGGGGGTAGCTGATGCTGTTGGGGCTGGACAGCAGAGAGAATACGGTCCAGCGACGACTGCATGCCAATCATCTGGGACTGGAGAACTAGATATTGACCCTCCAGTCGTGAAAGACGTCTTTGAACCGAGTTAGAAAGTCCAGGGAGAGGCAACGACGAAGTGGAACGCACTCGACACCCTGGCCTTGGGCAGCAGGAGGAATGCTGGGCTTCTTTTCTGGCTTTTCGAAAACACATATCGCCCCGCTTAGTTGGCAACGCCTACAAGGTGCCTGAGTTGGGCCGGACGGTCCGGTTAGTTTATTAACTCGAACAGCAACTTGGCGGGACTGACTTCTCCTTCACAACGATTCTTGCCCTTCCGGCATTGCGTGCAAGCCCTTGGATAGGCCCGTCAGTCATCCTATTTCCTTGTAACTGCCAACAACAACAATATCCGCTCACCTTGCGCCACGCTTTGGAATATGGGCCTCCTGTTGTTGCTGTTCTGTTCGCCGTCGTTTATTTGGCGACTCTGACCCGTTCGAGACGGACGCAGACGGGCTCAGCGACATGCGTAGACGAAAAGTGAATGGGAGGACAACAACAAGCCAAAAGTGATGGCCCGCTTCGGCTAAAACTCGATGAACTGCACACAAACTCTTCAACTGCTCATTCAATATTCTCATACTCGTCGTCGATGCCTAACATGCTTCGAATTGCCTCTCCATCCATTCCGCCTCGCGTGCAGTGCCCAAACAGCATCCCATAATTATCCGTCCACCGAATAGCCGCCTCTCTCGCCAGAAACCCTGCTCTCCGCTTCTCCTCAAGCTTCACTGGATCACAGGCCCCATATGCACTTATTTCATCCAGCAGCGCGACATGCTGCTTCTTCAGTCGCCCCAACGTCTCAAGCCGTTCTCTGCGCTCATTCTGTCCCCGTCGGTCAACAACAACAAAGACACATCAACAACAACAGCTCACCGTGTCAACTCGGCTCGCTTTCCCCGACTCCGTCTCCAATTTTATCTCCTCCTGTTGAGCCAGATACGCCGCCTTCGTCTCCGTCTGTTGCTTCACGCGATTCTGCAGCTATAAACGCCATAAGTAACTCGTTGACTGTTACATTTCACTCACAATCGCTCCCCGTTGACTCGGAAACGCCCAGAATACTAGTCGCGACGCGTCTCAAGCTTTTGCTGATCGCGAGTTCACTGCAAACTCACTATTACACGCTCCAATCTTGTCGCTCTGTACCAGCCCGTCGTCTACCAACGACTGCAGCACCTCTTTCACCGTCTGCTGCACAATTCCTTTACTCTTCGGCGCAATCTTATCGGCAGCAATATAATGAACAAAATATGATCAGGACGCGTGAATCGTACCTTCTCCAGTTCCTTCAATTGATAAAACTCCTTCGTCTCGTGGAATATCTCTGCAAACCATTAACTCGCGCGGCGTGATGTCGGTGGGATTTGACGCGCACCAAGCAACCGTGTGCGCTTCTCTTCGTGCGACAGACCGCGCGGCGCCATGACGAGTAGGAAGAAAGCGTCTGTCACGTGCGCCCAACTTTATCCTGTTTAGAAAATGGGCTTGAGCGAAAGATCATCGATCAGCGTTGCAACCTGCGAAAATTATATCAGCTCTTCTGTAGGTTCATGGTCTTCCTGTTATTTAGTTCACGCATGCACTTGGACTTGAACAAAGCTTGATTTACAGCACCAAAAATCTTTTGTCCAAACCTAATGTGTCGAGTCAACTTTGAACTTGGAGTGTTGCTCCAGCTCCGACCAGCCGATGTTTTGTCCGAATCGCGGCTCAATCTGTTCGAGACGATACGAAATCACCAGTTTTTGGCCACATCGCTTTAGTGCCTGTCCTAAAATGCAATAATAATGATACAACTACCAAATGACACCCATTGTACTAAGGATAACCCATTAAACGCGGGTCCTGGTCGTTCGTGGGGTAGCGGTAGGCAACGAACTGTGAATCCTGTGACACCAACTCCAGTTTCTTCGTCCGCCCGGCCAGACTGAACGTGCTGTGTCTTGATGTCGATGTCGCATAAGCAGTGCCCGTATCCTCTGCCTCTGACCCAGACCGCCTCATGCTTGGAAACGCTTGCGCTCCGCTTTCATCCGCCTTGTTCTGGGACCCTTTCTTTCCAAACAACGACGACAGCCCAAATCGACTCCGTCGTTTACCCGTGTTGCTCTGTAACGCGTTACGCATTGAAACTTGCTCTTGCACGTTATCAAGCCGGCCGAGTGACCGACGCGATAAGCCGTATTCATCGTATTGGGATGTGATACCTCGCCGCGGGTCATAAACTCCCGAAGCAGGCATGGTTGCAATTGCCGGTCGTGATGACATACCACCAAACGATTGTCTTCGCGTGTCCGTCGTCCTGAAGGGTGCCTGAGGAGGAATAAAGTCGTGGGGAGGTGCCGAGCCAAGTGGTGGTGGAGTAAATGACATGACAGTTCTTGGTCGGGCGTCTGGAGGTCGCGAAAACGCCTCCATAGGTAAAGGCGGGAGTGACTTGTCCCTGAAGGATATAACTGAATCAGGGCGAGCAGTATTTTTGACTGGAGGAGGCATGGATATTGGAGGAGGACTTTGAGACGCGCGCCTCATGTCGGGTTCTGATGTCATGGGGTGGACAGTCCGTGCTTGGGTTTTTCCGATAGTGTCCCCATACTGATCATCGTCGAATGTGGTTCCATTTGAAGTCCTCTGCTCGGCGATTTCTACGTCAGGGCCACGTGAGGAGGCTGGTGACGGTAAAGCGCTCGATGGCGCAGTTGGGGGTGACATACCCGGCGAAGACAATCCAAATTTGGGAGAAGTCGTCGACGGTAAAGATGGAGTTGAAGCATGTCGACCACCCTCTCCCCGTACAAGATAAGAGAGTGGAGGCGGGGGAGCCAAAGGAGTGTTGTCTTCCAGTGTGACTGAAGGCTCTCGTTGACTGTTTTGGTGCTTGGAAGAACCAGTGACGATTCCCCAAATTTTCGCCAGACCTTTCTTCTTCTTTTTCTCAGGTGTTTGTGCTTCGTCTTGGTCCACCGAAGGCCATAATTGACTTCGACGTGCTGTGGAAAGGTCAATGGGAGACATCATTCGTCGTGGCTGATGTGTTTCGTTTTGGAGAGCAACACTTTTGGTCATCAGGCAGTTGTTGACAGAATAAAATATCAAGACGCACTGCATATCCATCATGCTTCCAGAAATGCCTGAAGGAGCCAGACTATCTTGACTCCTCCAACCGGCACTGAGATTCTTCATACCGAAAAAGCGAGTTCTTCGGGGTGACGCAGAGCCAAGACTATGAATATCAGAGAAGGAGGCCTGAGAATAAGCACGAGGGAGCTCGGTGCGGTCAAGAGGGGCAGTTAAAACGCTGGTAGGTCGCGCTGAACTGGCTTGGGAGTATCTTGAGTACGGTTTCAATCCAACGCCGCTATCGGTAAGCGGATTGAAGCTTTGGGAAGAGATGATGGAGTTGACGTCGATTGCCGAACTTCTTGACGACTTTCGCGCACGCTTTTCCTCCTTGCGCCTGCGTTCTCTCGCCTCCTTCTCCTCTTTCCGCACATCAATATGCTCGACAATCATTCCATTTTCCAACAGTGTGACTTCGCGAGAGTGTGAACGTGGGTGGCTGGGCGACGATGGTGACTGAGGAGGCTTGATGCGGAGACCGCCAGCATCTTCCATCGGAACTACGTTGTTGCCAGTGTCATAAACGGACCTCCTTAACTGTGAATAGGTGTCTCTCATGCGACTGTCGATTTGTTTGGCCTCTTGCATGGCCCGAGCACGGGCTAGTGCCTCTGCTTCGAGTAGCGTTCGCTGGGATTTGATGTAATTGCTCAGTGTTTGCTGTCTAGAAGCGGGTTCGCGAGGGTTCTATGTGTCGTCAGCGGAAGCAACTCGGCCGACACGATAGCACAACATACCACACTGAGCCAAACTCGTAAATTCTGCTCTGTTAATAGCCCACCACGCGCTCGTGGCCTGGATTCGTCAAAGGCATTGCCATTCGCCTCGTCCTCGATTTCCCGTCTGAGTAGGTCGTCAAAAACAACATCGCTTTCCCGGTCCCAAATACCGGGAGAAGTAACATCGACGTCAATCATGTCTTGGTCGCGCATTGCACATTCGACGCAGACCTCCTCTTGGGGTGGACTGGAGAGAGCAACTGGGTTGGCGGCAGTGGGAGGGGTGATATAAGTTGGCTGTTGTGCATAGGCACGAGGAGTTGGAGAAACGGGAGGCTTGTAGGCCGGGTTGGCTGAAAGCGGCATTATCGGAGGCACGAAATTTGGCTTTGAGCTTGACCCGACACCAAGGGCGGGAAGTGCTGGATGGCGGGGGGCTGACGGTAGTAACGAGGGTGAAACATCCTTGGTCTCAGGAGAGATAGGGCGGGTGTCTGTCGACTGCCTGGGTTCTGGTAGAGTAGGAAAAGGGTCGGTGCTTGCGTGGTGAGGAGTGTAGTTCCGAGAAGATTCGGCAACTGGCATAGTTGAGGCACGAATTGTTGAAGGGTATCGCGAATCTCCACCGTCAGCAAGCATAGCTCGAAAAGCAGGGCCAACGGTGGGGGGGTTGAGGACCGCCGCCATCGTAAGTGATGGGCAGAGAGAGACAGGATGAATTCGATGATGCGTGACTAGACTGATTTCGCTAAACAGACTACACAAAGAACTCTATGCCTGACTATCTACATACTCAGCCTACTTACTTCTTATTTGCGATACCTGGGAGGGATGTCCATGAGCTAATTTGAAGAACCAGTAAAAAAAAACTCTGACCAAAGTACACTCTTCCGGCTTCGCCGCATTTTGCGTTGAAGTTGAAGCATCCCATAAAGCAACGCTTCGGCCGTTGGAGGGCAACCAGGCACATAAATATCGACCGGAACGATTCCTTCTCCTAGTTAGTAACTTCTCAGGACACTAGGCAATGAAAACCCACGGTCACAACCGCGGACGACTGAGTATGAGTAGTGGTAGTAACCCCCTCCATTGGCACATGAGCCCATCGAGATAACCCAGCCTGTCAAAATCAGTTTCCTGATGGACCAAGCAGCAGAAACAGCATACGTGGCTCAGGCATCTGGTCATAGACTTTGCGTAGAGCTGGCGCCATTTTGTTGGTCAATGTTCCCGCAACGATCATAATGTCGCTCTGACGCGGACTGGCACGGAAAACAACCCCAAGTCGGTCTTGGTCGTATCTCGCAGCAGCCATATGCATCATCTCCACCGCACAACACGCGAGGCCTAGACGGTTCCCGTCAGCTTTTCCCATACCAAGTTGGTATAACGAAGCTGACCGAATGTCATGGGCCACATTGACCCTTGCCGAGCCCAGTTGGCCACTTTGTCGAGAGTAGAGAGCACATATTCTGTCGTTCCTCAGCCAGTAATCCAAGTCTGGTGTTATGACGCACCAGCCCCATTCTTCGGTGTCTCCAAACTCAGCTGGTTTGAGCCCCGCTGGGCAAGCGATGTTATTGGTTCTGTCGAAGACAAGCTATGCGTTGGGATAGGCTCTTGAGAGCAGGCCGCAGTGGTATGCAAGGAGCGGAAAGCTATTTGAGACCTTTTGTGAGCAAGTCACGATAATTGGGTGAACCAACAATTGCGCACCCGGAAGCGCACCCGGCGCGCGAAATGAGACTCTTAGGGCAGCTAAACAGCAGTCAAGCCAGGTCACCAGTGGTGGTGGCTACCCACCTGTCCTCAACATCCACAAGTAAAAGAGCGATCAACGTGACCAGCCAGTCAGCTTTCAGCGATTTCTGATCTAGATACAAAACGAAAAAAATTTACTCGAAGAAAGGCATGCTACAACTAGAACTGTAGCCAACGATGTGCCCGAACTTGTCTTATAGTCGGCCTTCTCTTCGCATCGGGTTCAAGACACATGCTCATCAAATCCAAAGCCGCCTTAGAAATATCGGTTGGACACTCTGTCAGAATGATTCGGCCGTGCAGAGCGTCTCGAACAGTCGGAAACGGAGATGAACCTGTCAATAGGAAGCTTAAAAGCACTCCAATCGTCCACACTTCCGCAGGCGCAGCCTTATAGGGCCGTTTCCTGAGTATTTCCGGAGATGCATAAGCCGTCGTTCCATAGAAATGAGTGTGGTATGAACGGGCATGAGGATTCTCAACCACTGCACTTCCAAAATCGATGAGTTTAACGGTGAGGTTCTCGTCTATGACCACGTTTTCGTCCTGCAAGCAGATGATGAGTAACAACAGGCTATCGTTCACTATCTCTCGTCCACCTTGATATCTCTGTGCGAAGCCCCATTGATATCCAGGTAGTAGACAGCCTCGACAACCTGTTTCAGCACATGCTGTGCCTGACACTCCGATAAACGCTTGTTTTCTGATTGTTCGATGCACTCAAACAGATCATGGGAAGGGCGACGCGAATATTGTGGGCGAGGTAGAGAAAGACCTGGTCCGATGGATGGACTACTCTTGGGTTGATTATCTTGAATGCCATGGGGCAGTTGTTGGTGATGAATAGATGACGGCGGAGTTGCCGGTTCAGATACGGTTATTGAGTCGGCGGAGACTGAGGGGGAAAGAGACGGCATGCTGGATGACGGTGAAAGGGAACACGAAGGTGAGCTTGGCTTATGCCATGGTGATCCGTGAAGCTCTTGCACCAGATAGAAGTAGACCTCATCTTCGAACGAGTCGATATAGGCAACAATATTGGGATGGTCCATAGCGCGAAGCAACAAGATTTCGGTTGGGATCCTACATCCATTCTTAAAGCAAGTATAGAATGAAATGGAGTCTTCGACAGTGATAAGAAAGGAACTTACGCCATCGTACATCCACGCAGAGTCGGGCACTTTGCTTTTTTCGATGAATTTGACGGCGTATTCTTGACCAGTGAATCGATGAACCGCAGTCATAACAAAGCCGTAACCGCCAGAACCAAGTTGATCGAGTAGTTTGTATGAGCAAGCAAAGACAGGGTTGAGGATATGGTGGGCAGGGAAGCAAGGAGAATGGACGGCGGCCTTGCAATCGTAGGGCAACGATCGAGTTACAGGGCCAGGGTCACTATCGTAACAACGCGAAAAGACCTCGCCTTCGTCGGGAGACAAAAAGCTTGACGACTGAGAAAGAGGCGGACTTGGACTGAAGGGGATTATTGGCGAGGAATGGAAGGCCGTAGCGCGATAAGGTTCATCGTAGTTTGGCGGACATCCAGGAAATGAGGAAGCGTGTGAGAGGTAGCCGGTTTCGTGAGAAAGCCTAGGCACGGTGCGGCGATTCGAGCGACGGGTATCAGGAGACGGCATGGAGGCCACAGTATTTGGCGAGTGCAAAGGCAAGGCTTGAATCTGACGTGGTGGTAGGGTGGCAAGTTGGGAAGCGGTCACGGGACTTGTTACACTCCGCGAAGCGCATTCATTACGGGGTACTAATACGTGATAAGTTTTGTTTACGTCTCAGCATCCGCCAATGCCCACATATAAAAGACGCCTAAGCTACGATATGGCCGCCATGGGTTCGTCAACTGCTCCATATGCTCAGGAGAAAGAAAAGCGCCTCTGATGCCTGTGAGTAGAAGACAACAGACAATAAATTATGTCGTACTTGACTTTCTTCTTGCCATCGAGACGACTCCTGAGTTCTGAAACGGTGAGACCCGCTGGAAGAGGTGGCGGCGGTGGCTTTTCAATGAAAGTCTTCTTCAAAGTCCTCTGGATCGAGGGTGTAAATGTTGGTGGTAGAGGGACAGCCCCACTTCCACTGTCTTCTGGTGGTGGAGGTGTCGATGGTCGAGCATTATGGTCTTCAGTTTGACTGTTCAAAGCCGGGAGCTCGTCATCAGAGTCTTTTTGAGCCTTTTTGCTTCTTTTCTTCGGTGATGCCGAATCATTTTTCTGGGGGGATACGGAGAATGCATAAGATGGCAAGTGCTGAGCGAGAAACCATCGAACAAGTCCACGCTGGACACCAAGATCGCCTGTTAAGTGTTGTTACAACTCCGAACAAAACGGAATTCTTCCACTGACCGACTGGCAGAATGTCTGGTCGCCGAAGTGAGAATAGAGCAAACATGTCCACTGCGTCTGAAGTTTATTCAAAATTTTCGCTGCTGCACAAAAGACTGGCCTGTCCACTGTTTCATCGTCAATAAAGTAAAGAAATTGAAGTTGGACACACACCTGCCCAATTCCTCGCACTGCTATAAGAAGTTCTGTCAATTCCTCATCGCTGCTTTGAACAAGTTTCAACGTCGACAGTCGGCCTGCAACCCTTCAGTGTTGTTGTCAAGACGAAAAAAGGGTGACAACTTACCGTCTTCGAACCGAGAGGCTAAATCATGGATGTATTCAGCCTTGCGTTGACTCAACCCGGCCGTGCGCAGGGTGGTTAATGGAGTTTGCGCCACCTGTTGAGGAGTAGGGAAGAAGGATCCACTTATAGCCCAGACATAAGCGAGCGATTATTACAAAACCAGCACCAGACTTACGTGTACTCTGCATAAGTTTCCGGTATTTCGCGGTCATACAAACGGATAAAGCGATGCTTAATGGACCGTGCCGCAAGTGTGGATATTTGTTGGGCCAGTACTAATTCCAAATTTAGTTGCGGACTGACACAACACTAGAAGATTCAGCCTCACTAGCACTTGACAGAGCACTTTGGAAATGTCAGGACTAGAAGGAGATGTAACACGTAGAATCGGCACCGGAAAGGGTGGAGTTGTTCAAGCTCCTCGAATGGTCTACAAGGCAGACGTGCAAAAACGTCGGCAAACCGACCATCCGCAGTAATTAAATGATTTTTTGCGTCGTTGAAAGAGAAAGTCAAGACTGCATCAGCAGGAATGGAGTCCAAGCCTGAGTCAACCGAGATCGGCGGAACCGCCGCGCCAACGGCGGACGAAGTCGTACTACTAGTAGGAGAGAGCTTGGACTTTTTGGGTGTAGGCGGCTCTGGTGTCGTGCTTAGTGGGCGCTTGAGTCTCGAAGAGGAGCGCGTCGCAGGCATGGTGGTTATAAGCAAGGCGGCGCGTGAAAGCATATGCTGAGTCAGTTAATTAGCAACGCGTTATGTCACGAGATCAGAGCATCTGATGGTATCATAATATCTTGGCTAAGGCTACAAAAGCGTAAAAATACAACATATCCCATAAGTATCCGTCTAACGCAGTTCAGTCCATAGCGGCGAAAGCACCTGCGCAACCGTATTAGTGGCTAAACCTCATCGTCAATTCGCAGCTCAAATCAGTAAAATGGCTGACTGACCAACTTCGAGGCACTCTCGCTCTGCTTCACTCGTCACAGTCTTGAGAAGATTGCGGGATCTCCATCGGTCAGGGTGGAAGCGGCGATGGCTCTTTTGGACGAGGTTTACAAAGTCTAGAAATGTGTTCAGTCGCGCGTATCGGTCGAGCAAGAGTTATACCTTGTGGCCGCATGTGCTTTCTGGCCTCGCTGAAAAAGGCTTCAACTGCCGCCCACCCGATATCCTCGACGGAAAACGTAAACGGTGGGTGAAGAACTGGCCAAGGGATTGAGTCAAAATCTATTGGGTCCTCATCAGAGAACTTGGCGTTGTCGAATGTGTCGCTAGACACGATGTAGTGCTCAAGAGCCCGCTGCGGCAGCCATTTCCCCTGTGAGAATCGGGCATGACGCTGTTTTCGTTCCTTCTCTCGTTGTTGGGCAGCACGTTTTTGCTCTTCTTCTTGTGCCTTCTGTCGTTCCTTTTCCAATCGAGTCCTTCGTTCTTGCTCTACCCTACGAGCCTCAGCGGCCTGCCGCTCAGCAGCTTTTCTTCTGGTCAATTCTTGCTCCTCCCTTTCCCGCTGCTCTCGCTTTCTTGCCTCTTGTTCCCAAAGTGGGCGATCAGCTTCAAGTTCAGCAAGCTTGCGACGAGATTCTGCAATGGAAGCAGCCCTTTCCGCTTCTTCATCCACTGGAGGCTCTTCATCGTCACTATCGCTGTCGCTGTCGCTATCTTCTGGTTGAAGCATAGGCTCTGGGGGTATGTCCATATATAGTTCGTTCAAGAACTGTTGGTATTTCTGTTCTTTGCGAAAGCCCCACTCCCGCTCTCGGCGTTGTCGCTTCTGTTTTTCTCTTTCCACTCTGCGGGTTTCGAGATCGCGCTTAGCAGCACCGGGAGAGAAAGTCCGAGTTCGTTTAGCGCTCCTGGTAGGAGAGTAGTTCATCGCGTTGCGCTCGTCTTCTTCGTCATATCGTGTGTCGTAGTCTGGGTCGGCATGGCCGCGCAAAGAGTCGAAGAGTGAAGCAGCTTTGCGTTTCGGTTTTCCGGGGGACTCCCTTGAAGTCGTCGGAGTAGAGAAATCAAAGACGGAATGGCCACGGCTAGTCAATTCTTCAACTCGACGAGCTCCTAAACTACTGTCAGAGGAATATTGAGCAACAGAAGGGGCGACACACCCTTTTCACGCCTGCTTTTTCGGTTCCTCTCTATCTCTTCCCGCTGTCGTTTGAGTCGGTCGTTGCCAACTGACCTTCGTCCTCGTTGAATATATTCATCCACGGACATTTCGTCTTCGCTGTCTTCGAGATGAAAGGCTTTAGTGGGTGGCACGTCTGAACAAGGCTCTGCAGAGGACATCCGATGTTTGCCCAGCGGCTGTGGTTGGGCTGGCTTGACGATGGCGAGGGTGATAACGCTAAGCTCTGGAAAGACGCGCACAAGACAGTCGTAGGCGGGGTCGAGCTTGTATATGTCCCATAGGTCCTGGGAGCACTGAACTCGTTGCCTATGACCGCGTCAACGCGACCTCGTGATGTTGAGCAACCATGAACGCACCCGCAAATATCAACCATCCTCGGGAAGCTGCCCTCGTCGTCTACACCGTCTTCTATATGAGCCCTGGGAACGAATCGCCATGTGGATTCCCCCGAACAAGTCGTTTCTGTCAACAGTTGAGTACAAGGGCACACCAACTGACGACCAACTTGCCAATAACGACGCGTTTGGGGCGATATAATTCTTCACTGAGGGATAGGGTGCGCATTCCCAGTCCATTGTCAGCAGATGCGACGCGCGGATCGAAGCTGGCGAAGGAGAGTGTTGAAGATGGTCGGCGGAGGAGCCTATTCCGCTGCTCTAATAAAGTTTTGAGTGGGAAAAGCGCTCTGAGAGCTGTAATTGACTTGCCTGGATCAACGACACAGCCAGCTAGAACACTAGTCATGTCGAGTTAGATGAGGTTGTGGTAGTTGAGGTTAGAAAGTTAGTTGATCAGAAGTTTTGAATGCATTACGCCGTGTGACTCAATCGTCCGCTATTTAGCAGACACATAAACCATGTCCGCCCTCCAAACATTTCAGGTAGAATTCGCCCGCGACGCTGGGAGAGTCCTAACTTCTATCCTGTTCACAGCACGAAATGGACGAGATTGCGAAACAACGAACAGCCGCAGCACTCGGTGACAAGGAGAACCAGAGCCACAAGGCGTCAGTTGAGAAGGGCAAAGCCAAAGACGAGTTCAGCTCTATAGGCGACTCAAATGACACCCTCGAGATCGAGGAAACGTTTCTTGTTGGTATTCCACTGATTTATAAGGCACTTATCATATCTAACCTGGCGCAGCAAGCACTTCTATCGCCGGCTCCATCAGACCATGACCGCGCTCGCGACCTCGTTGCCTCACTCATTACTCAGAACTTTGGCGAATATGTGTGTTCACTCTTTTCTTGCCACACGTACACAGCTTATGTGCCAAACAGGTATTCAGGATAGGTTTACGCCCGCCTCAGGCGAAACTATTCACCGAGGAGCTTTCTGACGACGATACTGGATGGACAGGGGTCGCCCGCACGGAGGCTGAGGTAAAAACGATTACAGAGAAAATCACCACTGTTGTCGAGGAGGTAGGGGGGAAGGTGTGTTTACCTTCTTCACAAATAATGCCACCTCATCTGCCTTAGACCTCGGTGCTGTTTAGCAATCATTCTGGAAAGCGACACCGCGCATCGTTACTATTACGTTTACCGCCTTTGAGCGTCTCGCAAACACCAGAGGCAAATCCCCATACCATCATGTTTTGTGGTGGTGGTTAACTTCCTGTAGGTTCGATGTTGCTGTGTGGGTAATGTTGACGCTGGTATGGACTGTCCGCTCGGATTTAGATCGCAGCTGATAGGTTTCAGGAAAATCCAGCTTCCTAGGCGTTCTTACACGAGGTCATCTTTGCGGACTCCCCTTACTTCGTCCCTGATTTGTGCGTAGGCGGACTCGATGATGGCAGGGGACGGGCCCGCGTTGGACTCTTTCGGTATGACGCTTTCAGTCATTCGAGTGTCGCTCATGTCAACCTTAGGCATAAACACGAGATTGAGACTGGGCGAACTTCGTCCATCGGAATGGAGGTGGGTAACTTTCGACTTTGGCAATCCCGCTTAACCTTGTCCAGATACTAGGATTTGGGCCAGATGGCAATCCTATTCTCCCCACAACCGCGCATTCGCAGGATGTGGATGTGATTCGCCGAGAGAAGCTAGGCTGGGAGGAAATCTCTATACAAGCAGCCAAGATCGTCTCATTTAGCGGTGATTACTCTTTTGTTAAAATCGACGTTAATTCTCAAACCAGATCAGACCTGGCTGGCCACGAGCGATACCTGAAAACAACCCTGTACGGTCTTACATCAGGTAGATACCTCCGAAAGCGGAGGTCTCCCTTTCGTTGACTGTCTCCAGGCGCACCTAGCTGTGTGATTCTCATTGTGGGGGGGAATGCGGGGCTCATTGGAATGTCGAAAGAGCATTTAGCCATCGCGCTTGCTCTGGGTGTACCTATCGTCGTCTGTATCACCAAGGTAGCATCTGTTTTTCACTCCAGCGAATTACTCTGAACCCAGCGGTAGATCGATATGACTCCTCCCAACGTATTAGAGGAGACTATCAAGCAAGTTACCAAGATTCTCAAGAGCCCTGGTTGCCGGTATGTCCCGTTGAGCCACATCTTGCAGCGCTCAATAGTCCTCAGCAAAACACCAGTATTTGTCAAGTCGATGGAAACCGCAGTAGAGATTTCGATGGCATTTGGAAAAGACAGGTAATCGAATTTTTTTCTACTTCGCGAAACCCACTGATCACTCGTCTATAGATTATGTCCCATCTTTTTGATCTCGAATGTTACTGGACAAGGGCTCGATTTTGTTAGCTGCTTCCCTCGATCTCCTTGTTCTATTTCTTACTGAGCATTCAGGTTCGAACCTTCCTGAATCTGCTACCTTCGAGCGAGACAGATCCTGAGAAGTTTCCCATTGATCAGCCATTAGAGGTTAGTTTGCATGTGGAACGGACACATCTAAGTCTCATTATTCCATAGTACTGTGTAACTGAGGTCTGGTCTGTTCCCTATGTCGGTAAGCCACCCATTGGTGACCCTGATTCCATCTCTAACGATTTTCAGGATCTGTTGTTAATGGCATGTAAATCATTCTCTCAAGTGTCCCTTATTCATCGCCAACTCTCTAGGCATCGTCAACTCTGGAGTGGTCAAGACCGGTGATGCAATTCTGTTTGGGCCTGACTCCAACGGGAACTTCCAGCCGACCGTTGTGCGGAGCATGCAGCGCAAACGGTTTGTATCTACCATTCTTTTTGGACTTGTCGTTTTATCTTGCCAGGGCGGATATCACTAGAGCAGAGGCTGGTCAGTGTGTCTCGTTGGCCCTCAAACGCGTGCGAAAAGCCGCCATTCGCAAAGGCATGGTGATAGTGCACAAAGAGACGCAGCCCAAAGGTATTTTTAGCCAGCATTAAAATGGCGGTGAACTGATATGTTTTCTCAGCGGTGCGCCAGTTCGAAGGCCAAGTTTTGATCCTGTACCATAATACGACACTACAGAAGAACTATCAGGTCAGTCGCTCCACGAGACTTGTTGTTTCCGACATTGACTGTCTTTCGCAGGCAATGCTGCACTGCGGGGTAGCCTCATTTGTTGTATTTTCCTGATGATGATTCTCACTTTGTCAACAGGCAGTACGGCAGACGGTTCGCATCATCGACATGGATGCAGAACATCTTCGGACAGGAGACCGTGCCAAGGTCACCTTCGAGTTCATCTCGCATCCTGAGTATATCAAAGAGGGCCAGAAACTTCTTTTCCGCGAGGGGAGGACGAAAGGACTGGGAGTTGTGTCGCGGATAGTCGCATAATCAAGGCTGGTCTAATTTTTTATTTTTCTGTTGTTGTAGCAAGGTGGTATCGTGTCTCAGGAGAATACCAGTGTTGTACTCTATATATGTGCTTCTGAACTTGTCGCTGAGCAACTTGAACTCGAACACTTCCTAGCACACGTGACTGGTCTTTTTCTTTCGGTCCAATCCTTATTGCGACCAAATACTCCAAGTCCATGACCCCCTGCGATGATTGTGACGCAATGCAGGTTGACAGCGACCCATTTAAAAATCGCCAAACCTACCCCTCGTTTATTGTGCAAACGCAAACCTCCTTGGGCTCCTAGATGCCTTGGTCATTCATTGCTCGAAGGTTCAAGCTCCTCAGTCAACGCATTGACTTGTGACCTGCATAAGGGAAGATTCTCTTTGTGCTTGACCATCCTTCGTCAGCATAAATCCAGCTAAGCCTCAAAGAACTCGAGTGAGTTGTTAAACCAAGTAGCAACTGCATCGCACTTAAATTCAACGTCGACTCTCAGAAAGCATTGGCTGCTTGTTCCAACAATTCCAGTTCCGAGGTATCCTTCGTCCTCCTATTAAACCCCCGTTCCTGTCATGGCGACTCCGTATATGGCAAGACTATAAAGCACTCGAGCCAAGGCATATAAATGCAAGGGAGAGACTCATTCCCTTCCCCCACCCAACGATGTCCCAGCCACTACCTGTCGTTACTTATATTCTGGGCGGTTGGGTATTGTCCAATTAGCGTGCCATCGCTTAAGCTAACATTCGCGGGCTTAGGACTTGGGTGTCTGTGGTGATCTCCTGCTGCAAGGCGTTATCTTTGCCCAAATATCCCACTACTTCTCTCTTTATCGCTCCGATGGGCCCGCCCTCCGGATGTTCGTTTTCGGTCTTTTGTTCCTCACAACCCTCAAGTCAATGCAAATGATGTAAGCATTTCACAGGTTTATGTTATACCGCAACTGACATCCAAATGTAGCGCTATTCTGTGGACTCAGAATGTGATCTACTTTACCAACATCCGGGCAGCGGCGACAATGTTCACGAGCAACTGGCTCGAGCAAATCAACTTGGGCATGTCTGTCTTTCTTTTGATCGACCATTATTCAACTGTCCTAGGATTCGGTGGTTTCATCACATTCTGCGTGCAAGTGTTCCTGTGTCAGCGTCTTTGGGTAGGGCTTTATCCATTGCCCTGATGCTCTCTAATTTTTTCAAAGGCTCTCAGCAAAAACATCTACATCGTCACTATCTTGATGGCTGTATTCACCTTCTCGTTGGTGGCAGCATTTGTAGCGGTATGCCTATTATTCTTCTCGTCTGCTAGGATTGCTTCAACCTTTTCTCAGGTTGGTTTCACGTTCAACGACAAGCCTGTCAGAGGCACATGGAGTGAGCCCTTTCTCCTTCCGCCCTTGCTCTCGTTGACCCAATGGTTCATAGTTTCGGTTCATCTTGGGGTTGTTTTTGGTGGAGACCTTTTACTTTGTGGCTCGACGGCTTATTTTCTCCTGGTACGTATGTAGTGAAGTCTAGCTTGAATAACTCGCGTTTCAATTTCTGGACAGAAACACTCAAAACAAGTTTTGCCGCAAACTGCGGGAATGCTCAATGCGATCCTCAAACTCACGGTGCAGAGCGCTGTGCCTGGTGCTCTTTGTGCTATGGTCAACCTCATCACCTCCCAGACGGGAGACAAATTGAATCCATTCAACGTGTCAACCATGCTTTCCATCATTTCAACCGATCTACTGCCTAAGCTCTATGCTATCAGCGCGATGTGGACTCTGAATTCGCGGCGTGCAATTCAACTTGCGGGCTCAGCGGGCCACAATACGAGCAGTATCGAAGGACAGAGTGACAGGAGGAGAACCGGGGCCCCTAGTGGTGTTGAGCTTGGAACGTTCGGAAAGGTGCAGCGCATCCAAGTTCGCACCCAGGTGCAAACTCTGCATCATACGGACGACGACGATGTTGTGGTGTTTGCGCATGGCAATGACCTGAAGCCGAAGGAAATGGAAGAGTTGAGTCTCGATGCAGAGAGTGGGTCGACGAAGAAAGGATTGCATTGATTTAGCGATGCGCTTTGAAGAAGTTTTCGAGTTGTACTTGTATCCACCGTGGACTTTGGCGTGTGGGACAATATGTTAGGCGACAGCTATCGCTGCTGTGATTCAAAACACCTTTCCGCTCTTCTCAGAGCCGAGCTGTATGTCCTCGACATATCTATGTTCAGACCCATTGGAAATGCGTAAGACTGAACGGGCTGAACTTTGGTAGCCACTTATCTCTTGATGAGTCATCAGCAAGAACTTGAACGTGAAAAGGTCAACGTGAAAAAAGTGAACGGTGATCTTTTGATAGTCCAGATACAATTGACTCAACAGTTGCTCAACAGCTCTCTATGATGCGGCCCCGAAGTGTGTGGAAAAAGGCTTGAAATGCGAGCTGCTTTTTTGCTGCTTGACAACTGCCGACGAGGTCAACTTACTCTTGACTGGAGCTTGTGCCTAGTGCTAACAGTGTTTAGTATGTCGTCCGACTCATTGTGGATACCGTTTTATGCCACTGCGACATCCATTGGCGCGTTTGTTGTCCATTCTCTCTGGCTCCGAGCGAAACACTGGAAGGGTCCGGTGGAAGACGACGATAACCGCCAATCCACAGCTAAATCCCTTTCCGAACATGTCCAGCAACATGGCGGCATGACGATATTCGGCTTCAATGCAGCACGTCTCGTTACAACTCTCGTCTTGTTATGTCTCTCGATATTTTCGCTTGCGTTGGATTCAGAGCAGGAGGGGAACAAAAGTGGAGGCGCTTTCGCGGGCATGGCGGTCAGCGGAGCACACTGGGTGATGACCTGGACCTTTGTGCGGCCCTCATTCGTTTCTCTTCTCAACTAATGCAACTGCAGTTTTACGCGTCGATTATGACCATCCTCACGCTTGTGACGTCTCCGGAATCGAGTCGTCTGGCCGTCAAGCATCTCAACTTGGTCTTATTCCCGACCTTTTGCGTCTTCTTTTATCGGGACATATACCCACTGTTGACGTTGAAGCTGCAACCCCTTGATGCCGCCGAAGGCTTACTTCTCTGGATCAAGCTCACCTTGCTATTTGTTGTGGCGGTTGTAATTCCGATTACAGTACCTCGAGAGTACATTCCTGTCGATCCAAAGGTGCCTTAGCAATCGTGCAAAAAGTACTATCATCCTAACCTCGGCTCATCTAGAACCCATTCCCGCCATCGCAAGTCACTCCAGAGCAGACCGCGTCCATACTGTCTATCGCGGTATACTCATTCCTCGACCCCATCATCTTTCTTGGTTATCGTGTGCCGCACCTCAGCTATGACCAACTCCCCCCGCTGGCCGACTACGACCATGCAAAAAACCTCAAAAAGCACGCTTTCCCTGTATGGGTCCGGTCCTTGACAAGTTTCTATTACTAATGTGAATGCAGTATATGGATGTTTTTACCAACAAGAGAGGACATATCTTCTGGCAGATTCTGTTGACCTTCTCTGGGTCTTTTGTGTTGATGGCTGTTGCTCTTCTCATTCATGGGTTCGCTGGGTTCATTTCGCCAATCGCGATGAACAGACTACTCAAGTAGGTTTCCCGACAAGCTGGGCGGCGAGGGCCAATATTTTCTAGCTACTTGGAAGGCTCTTCAGAAGGGTTTCTCATGAAGCCTGGGTTCTGGATCCTTTTGCTTCTTCTCGGCCCTGTCATTAACTCACTTGCATTCCAATGGTTCATCTTCGAATCGGTATGTTATTTTAATTTTTTTTCTTGCAAATTGATTTGTCCTTCATAGACTCATGTCGCCAACCAATCGACATCCATTATCACGCAACTTGTTTTTGAACACGCTCTGCGTATTCGCGTCAAAGCAGACGTTAACGACAAGAATAAAGACTCCGCCAGCGATAGCGACAAAAAGCCATCGAAAAAGACAGACCAAGACAGCAGTCTACTCGGAAAGCTGACCAATCTCGTATCCAGCGACCTCCAAATGATCAACGAGGGACGGAATGTGATGTTTCTGGTGGTTTTGGTGCCGATCCAAATCATTGGCTCCGTCTTCTTCCTCTACCAGGTGCTGGGATGGAGTGCATTTGTCGGCATGGCAGTCATGGTGGCATTGCTCCCCGTGCCAGGATACATCACCAAGTTGGAGCAAAGTGAGTTGTTCATCCCTTCAAGACCCGTCATTAAGCAAAGGCCAGCTGCTCAAAAGGCGACACTCGAAAAGAAGGATGCCCGTGTACAAACTGTCACAGAGAGTACGCTCTAATTCTTTTCAGTTGGTTCTTCGAGCTGACATATCTAGTTCTAAATGTCCTTCGCATGGTGAAGTACGTGATCATGGTCTTCAATGGCCGACAACTTTTAACTCAAGCATATTAGAATGTTCGGGTGGGAGAAGCAGATGGAAGGGAGAATCGAGGAGAAGCGCGAAGACGAACTCAAACAACTGTGGAAGCGCAGGATGCTTGATCTTTTCAGTAATCTAGCCAAGTAAGTCCAGGTCTATTCTGATGACGTCGACCGAATTGTTGAAGCACTATCATCCCGATTCTAACCATGATCACAACCTACGCAACCTAGTACGTTGATATTCTATTGGGGGGATGACTTTGCTCAATTTGCCTCTTTTGTTCAGCGTTGAGGCTTTAATCCAACCCCGGGACTCATTCGCTGAATTCTGACAGACTGTTATCGCTAAACAAGATCTGAGTGCGGCAATCGTCTTGTTCGTCTTGATTCCAAACATATCCATTGTCACTCAAATCATTTTAGCTCATCCATGGCTGTCTTCGACCTCCTTCGGAATCAACTGTTCTTCTCCTTCTACACCCTTTCGGTCGCTGTGAACGCAAAAGTCTCTCTGGATCGTCTCAATGACTTTTTACACAAAGTATTTCCCCTATCCCTGTTAGAATCAATGCCTGAATGATTTGTAAGACCGAACTTCTCGATTCCCTTGGCAAGTCAACTCTGGACGAAGACCGACGAATCACCGCAGGTGTCCCAGCTTCGAACAGTATCGGATTCAGAGACGCTACATTTTCCTGGTCTGCGGATGAGGCCGAGGTCGATGGAACAGTGACTCCCTCAAGCCGTCGATTTTTATTGAAGATCGAGGGAGAATTATTATTCAAACCAGGAGTGGTCAATCTGATCATTGGACCTACTGGATCGGTACACCCGTTGGACGTCTTGTTTATTCACCGTTGACATTCAATCCCAGGGCAAAACTTCGTTGTTGATGGCTCTACTCGGTGTGTAATTTGCTCTCGGTCTTACATCTTAGCTAATACTTCTCCCAGGCGAGATGCATTTAGTCCACTCATCTCTGACCTCATGGCACAATCTCCCTCGAGGCAAAGGTGTTTCATATGCTTCTCAAGTTTGTTCATCGTCCGTTGGGATTCTCATTGCTGACCGTGACCAGGAAAGCTGGGTTATCAATGATACCATCAAGGTATTTATCAGTTTATCTCCCACCAAATTCCTTATCCAGAAAACAGAACAATATCTTATTCAATGCCCCTTATAACGAGGCTCGTTACAAGAAAGTGCTAAATCAGTGCTGTCTCGAGCGAGATCTCGAACTCTGGCAGGCCGGGGATGAGACTGAAGTGGGTGAGAAGGTGAGTTGACTAAGTAGTGGTCGCGGTAGCTGAAGGTTCATTCGATGTAGGGTCTGACATTGAGCGGCGGCCAAAAGGCCCGCGTCACTCTCGCTCGTGCCATTTACTCGGACTCTGCGATCATCTTATTAGACGACATTCTCGCGGCACTCGATGTTCATACTGCGAAATATATAGTGTCGTGAGTGTTGTTTTGAATGTTCTGGATTGACCTAACGCTTGATATTCAGAAAATGCCTGAAGGGCGACCTGATTCAAGGCAGAACCGTTATCCTGGTGACCCACAATGTTGCCCTCACAAGCCCGATTGCCGGCTTTGTGGTCTCTCTCGGTCTCGATGGCCGTATTCTTAGTCGAGGCTCTGTCTCCGATGCCCTGGCGAATGACGAAGCGTTAGCCAAGGAAGTCCGCGAAGAAGAAGAGCAGCTCGCCGCCGCTGATAAGGAGATCGACTCTCAAGTCGTCGCAACGGAGGACTTGGCGAAGAAAGACAAGGGGAAATTGATTGTCGCTGAAGAACTTGCGATTGGCCATGTTAGCTGGTCTGCACTCTCGCTGTACCTTCGCGGGATGTCAGGCTCGCACCAGTTCTTCTTCTGGTCCGTATTGGCGGTCTTGATAATTGCTGGCGAAGTCGGCGTAACGCTCCAAACGTGGTATTTAGGATTCTGGGCAAGGTTAGTTATTAGGTTCTTACCCATCATTGGCTCAAAACTGCGATAGCCAGTATGGTGAAGGCGTCGTCGTGCCGGTGTTCAAGTACGTGCTGTGATCCCGTGCCCACCTTGTTTCACTGACTGGACTAGGTACCTGGGTGGCTTCGGTGTGGATGGCGCCCTTGAAATGGTTCAGAACTCACTTCAATCTAGGCATCATCTTGGCCGTCAGCTTTATTCTCTTCGCGATCACCTACGTCTTCTATGTCCTTGGCTCCTTCCGTGCCTCAAGAAGCCTCCACAAACAACTTATAGACTCGATTCTTGGAACAACTCTACGGTCAGCTAATTTGTCCGTCGACAGTGCTTGACCGAAGCTCAAATTATTGTCCCAGATGGCTTGACACAACGCCAGTGTCCCGCATCATCGCTCGGTGTACCGTTGATATTGGAGCTGTGGACAACTTCTTAGCCGAAGCACTTCGGGCTGTCTTGAGTATGTGCAGTTATCTTTCCAATCTTACAACGCACTCATCCGTTCAGCCATTTCCGTCGCAATGCTCACCAAATTTGCGGCTGTTGTTTTCTTCGCACCCGTTTTCTTCATTGGTGGCTTATTGGTTGGCGTTATCGGCATGGTAACTGGAAGAATATACATGGGTCAGTGAACAAGTACAACACCAGCACATCACTAATCCAAGCTCAGCTTCGCAGCTCTCTGTCAAGCGTGAGCAAAGCAACGCTCGAGCCCCTGTCCTCGCTCAGTGGGTTATCTATCTTATCATCATCACGTGGGATCTGATCATATCTAGCTTTGGTGCGACCATGTCTGGCCTTGGTATGCGCTTACCACTGATATGTCATATGTGCTTACACTATTCTGAGTGTCCGTCCGCGCATATGGCGCTCAGGATGCTCTAATTGGCATCTCTCAAGAACGCATCGATCGGCTTACTCGGGCGACACGGACCTTCATGAACTTGAATCGATGGGTAACGGTGCGAATCGGTAAGCCATATTTATTCCTAAGGGAGCTATACTCACGGCGGTATAGATGTGCTTGGTGGGCTTTTCGTATGTCTGTGACCGCTATTCGGACAACCTGCTTATGCAAAAGTATAGGCGTCATCACTTGCCTACTATGTCGTATATCTCACCCATGAGCGGGCATTCAACGTTGGTTTCAGCTTGAACATGGTAAGACCCGTCAAAACATGATATTTTTGTTTTCTTACCCAATTCTAGGCCCTTGGTTTTGCGGAGTTGATTTTGTACCTCGTCCGTTTGCTCAACATGTTTGAGGTCCAAGGCAACAGGTTCGTCTGTTAAATGGTACACGGTTTCAACGGTTAACTTTGCGTCGAAGTGTGGAGCGAATTCAACAATACCTGAATATCGAGCAGGAGCCTAGGCCGACAGCTTCCGGTGTACCCCCGGCTTACTGGCCAGCAAGCGGGAATTTGACTGTCGAAAATCTGAAAGCCAAGTATTCGCCCGATGGCGAGGAAGTTTTACATAGTCTATCGTTCGAGATCAAGTCGGGAGAAAGAGTTGGAGTCGGTGAGTGAAGATAGTCCGAAGGTGTACATAAGTTACTCAGATATGCTGCTCAAGTTGGTCGCACCGGCTCTGGCAAGGTCCGTATCTTTGTTAGGACTCATTCCCCTTGGCCTGATCAATATGACCAGAGTTCCCTCACGCTCGCTCTCCTCCGCTGCATTCTCACCGAAGGAAACGTAATATACGACGGAATCCCCACCTCCAAGCTCAACTTGGATGCTCTTCGCTCGGCAATTACCATCATCCCTCAAGTGCCAGAACTGCTAGTCGGGTCTTTACGCTCGAACTTGGACATCTTCAACCAATTTGACGACGCGACGTTGAACTCGGCGCTCCGGGCCGCTGGATTGGCATCACTGCAAGCTGAAATGGAAGCGGATAACGAAGGACGGTTGACTTTGGATACGGAAATCGCTGCTGGAGGTGCAAACCTATCGGTCGGTCAGAGGCAAATCATCGCTTTGGGTGAGTGTTTTCCCCTTTGGCCTTAATTTTCATTGATGAGTTCAGCACGGGCAATCGTTCGCGGAAGCAAACTGCTCATCCTGGATGAAGGTGCGTGAAAATATCTTTCAGGGAATGTTGCTGATTCTCGCTACTTTCAGCGACCTCTGCAATCGGTGAGTCTAATCTGGGGCAACGTAGCAGATGCTGATGACCTCATAAGACTACAAAACGGACGCTGTCATTCAGACGTCGCTGCGGACAGAACTTCCTCCAGACACGACACTGTTAACTGTTGCGCACCGATTACAAACAATTATGGATGCAGACAAAATTGTGTGTAGCTCTTCACTACTTGCCCGGTTAACTACTAAGCATTGCTTCAGATGGTACTTGATGCTGGTCAAATTGTACGTCTTCTCCCGTTCATTTGCTTCACTCAACAGTTGTCAAGGCCGAGTTCGACAGCCCAAGAGTCTTATTGGAGAAGGAGGGTGGGCTACTCAAGGCTCTCGTCGACGAGTCTGGGGATCGAGACGCTTTGTACGACATGGCAAAGAAATAGAAGAGTAAGACGAGCTAAACGTGATATATACCCTGTTCACTCCCTGGACTTATGGTATCTCCGTAACGGTGCGGTAGTATGTAGCTGCTGCTGCGGAGACCAAGTTTCGCGCCACGGCTTTTGGAGACCGTCAGATTCATTCATTGGATACTTATAGACATGAGGCTAGTCGTCGTCTCCTTCCTATCTTTCTCCATTGCTCCTCATGTCGCTACCGCTGCCATCGACTTCTGCACTCACCTCAAGTGGAATTGGAACCACCACCACATGTTCGTTCCCTCGTCTGCCCTTCCATTGTGGCCCTGATCCCATATATCGAAAGTTGGATCGACCGCGGTTGTAACTGAGGGTAAATTCTGAATGAATCAAGCTTGCCAACTCAAGGACATAATCAGTGGTCGCGACAGTAACGGTGCCGTCTCCAAGCTCGAGTAACGAGTCTAACGCTAGTGGTGGCGCCAACAACGGACTGTCGTCTGAAGCAATCGCTGGGCTGAGTCTTGCCGCAGGCTTATTTGCGGGGTCGGTATTGGTGTTGGTGTATTACTTGCTGCGGAGACGGCGTCGGCGAGCAGTTCGGAGACGGGTGATGGGTGACCGAAGTTGGGAACCGGAAGATGAAGGACTGCTGCAATTCCCAGGTCGGAATTGGGTTTGGGTTGTAGATGAATGCTTCGCTCACCTTTCTCTCAGAGAAATCCATTCCGTTACAGCCCGCGCTGCCACCCAGAGTCGCGAGAATAATCGAATGGGCCCAGAATACGCGGCCTGGCCCTATGTCCATATCCTCGTCGACAATCGCTTCGGAGAGTGTTGCTTCCTTAAGCAGAACACAGTCTGCTGCCTCTTCTCGTAGTGCGTATTCGCAGTTGAGTGCCGCGCATACTATTCGGAGGTCAGAGGATGGTTTTGGTGAAGGCGGGTTGGGGCTAGCGCGACGACCAGAGTTGGAGCGGATAAGCGAATAGCTGGGTTTTGTCTTTCTCGGATTGGATGTAGGGCATTGACACTATTAGTGTATATTTCGACTATTGCAGCTGGGGGTGGTCGTTCAAGACAAGCTTGTGATCGAAGCTCCTGATCGCATCAATATGCCCATCTCGTTGTCAAGTTGTTGGACTGTTGAGCTCGAACCTCTATAGAGTCTGTGCAACGGCACGCCGTCATGGGCAGTGTCGGCGGCTCATGACTTCCTTATAGCCTTACTCGGGATGCGTCTGCCCCCCACCCGCTGCGCTGACCATGAACTCCCCCGACTACATCTCTTTGCAGTGGACGACTGTTCAGTATAATGTGTTTGAACTCGTTGGGCAAACTGCTGCCTTCGGTATGTCTTCACATCTACACTGCTCTAGGAAAGATCTCAGAGAAGCAGGAGGCTATACCGTCCTGATATTCCTCTCAAGCAGGATGTTTATGTGAGTTGCTGCTTTAGCTGCTGCTTTTCACCATAGGTCACTGTGCTGAACACGCAAAATAGCAAACGCGGCATCAAGACGAGGCTCAACCGTACTCTTTTGGCTGGCAGTCTGTTCATGTACCTCCTCTCTACGGCGTACTTTGCCTACACTGTTGTCAATGTTGCCGACCGGATGAACATATTCCTTGATGTTGCTTTGAATAAAAGCATTGGGCTACGAGGCTCATTCCACGATAACATCACAAAGTGGTCTCCCCTCTTCAATGCCGTCGTTCTTGTCAACGTGCGTATCAAAGCTATCTTCTCTGACTGACTGTTGATTCACTTTCTTCGAATAGTACGTGTTCAGCGATGCTGTTGTTATCTGGCGATCGTGGATTATCACCCCTGTCCAACACCGAAGGTGGATTGCGATTCCCGTAACACTGGTCTTCCTAGCTTCAGGTGAAATCGTTCCATCCTCTCATAGTCGAATTTCCTAACAAGCTTCCCAGTCAGCGTCATCAGTACTATCGTCTTCAGAGCCATCGCGTTTGTTCAATATCCTTTGGTGCCAGTCCCTAAGGATACTTTCATCGACCGTGGGATCAACGTTCTTCAATTGCTGAGCATAGGACTGTCCTTGCTCTCCAACATCTCTGCCACATTCGTCGTCGGAATTGTTGCTATGTAAGCATTTATCTTTCCCACAAACAAGGGTATATAATGACAAAGGAACAGCCAGCACCGCCAAACGATCAGCGCTGCATTTATTACCGCCAAACACACGCGGCTTACGAGAGGCGAGCGTATTCTGCGCCTGCTCGTTGAATCCGGGCTGCTCTACTGCATATCCGGGGCAAGTGCTACCCATAAAATTATCTCTCTCTCTGCTCAACTGACAACTCCTTCACAGCTCGTCCTCGCCGTTTTTTGCTTCATCCGCCTTCCGCACGGCACGCTCGGTGACATCTACACGCCTGTGACAGTCCACATCTCTGGCGCATATCCGTTAATCGTTTTCCTCCTGATCAAGGAAGAAATGTCACTCGACAAGACAGAGTTTACGCTTGTCTTGCCCACTTAGGCCCATTCGGAGGCGTTTTTTATTTGCTGTGATTCAGTATCGCGGATTCGCGTGATCAAGGAAGAACATGTCGAGCTGGCGGGTCAGATAGAGCGCTGGCCATAGGCAAGACTCCGAGTCCCCATGCCAGATTAGGCCAGCATATAGTTCCAAATTGATGTCAATAACAGTAAATTATGTTCGACATTGTTTGTCGGTTGCTGGTCACAAAGTGACATCTTTGCCTATCTTTGCTCACTCTCCGAAACTCAGCCGACTGCAGTGTTCAGATTGCCTTGCTCTTTGTGAAAGAGCAGACAGATCTTACCATCATCTCTACTCACACCCTGCGCATACTCCGTCTCAACCTGAAGTTTGAGCTGTCACCATATGCGGCCGTTGAGCGTTGAACAGTGCATGTGGAAGCCAAGCTAAACTCAAGCTTCAACCTAGGCGGCTTTCGTCCAGGAATAGTCTGTATGGCAACTGCAGGCCTGGCAATGTGCACCTGGCCGCAGTGCTCTTGCTAGAAAGCCGACGACAGTTTGTTTTGCAACCCAGCTACAAGATTTTGGACGAATTGTCTTGCCCTCGCCTCAATCACGTCGACGGAGCTATGGCGCAAGCAGTCTCTTGGCTTACGAGGGGGGGACTGTTCCTCCAGGCTGTTCGGCTTTCACGATGATATATCGGTTCCAACACAATTCCCGCCGAAGATTATCAACGTCCAGCACATCTTTTACCGTTTCTTCCGTTGGGACCAACGCTGCAATGCGGTCCTGTCACCGCTGTCCTTCTACCATAGTACCAACAAATAAATGCCTCTCCTGGTGGAAGTTGACTTGTTTACTCAGAGTGTTGTTCGTCAGCCAACGAATTGTGTAAGTTCCACATCGCAGGCTGGTTCGGTTGTTGAACACTGTTCTTGACAGTCCTGAACGCTGCCTGGGTCGAGTAGCCAGCCACAAGAAGAGGCAAAGAATAATTGGATGGCGACAATCCTGTGGTCAGGTCCATCGCGGGAGCCTCAGTGTCGTTGTGTAGATGGAACATCTCCAATGCCGTCAGCAAAGATTGTCCGGTTTTTGCGGAAGCCTTACCATCGATCCATTGCCTTCTCTACGTTAACATTTAACAGTCAACAAGCTCATATGGTCCCATCTGGAATGTGAGTCTGCCAGTGTAAAACCGAGATTGACCACTAGTGCTGACATCCCAGGATATAGAGATTCTCGCACTTCAGAGGCGATAACGATAGCCGAAGTCTGCTTCGAACGTTCAGTTCAACCTTGGGCCATGGCAGGTCACCTACAATGTGTCAATAGAACAAGGCTATCTTCTGCAAGCAATGAGAAGCCTCGGCAACAAGCCAATCCATCTGAATCATCAGGAGAAGGATTTTCACTGCAGGCTTACAAAGAAATAGCGAGAACGATGACTGGCATTGAGCGAGCCGCTCTCCCCTGATGCCCTCCAACCTTATATCAGAAAGCAAAGAAACTCTATTATAGCAAGGCACAAAGCGGTGACCCGTTTCCTCTTCCCAGATTGGCTTATTATTGCTGCATGCGCAATCAAGCTCGCTTCTTGAACGGCGCCGGACAGGTCTTCCCCATCATTCCACAACCACTGAGGCTCGAGTCGTAGCTTTTCGAATATAATGTCAACTGAAAGAAGTCTATGCAATGAACCCATGGAAGACAGCACTCAACTGGACACCCATCTCTGAATCTTCAAGAGGCTGAACTCGGTACTGACTTTGAAGATTTGCGTTGCCTCAAAATGGCTAAACCCGGCTTGCCATTGACCGCCCGACCCGAGTGTTGGGAAATCAATGATCGTCGCGATCTCACTATCCTTCCGCTCCTAACCGTCATCTTGGTCATTTCTTATTACGCCCTCCTGCTATTTTGCTCATCAAGAAACGATGAATAAATTCCAAGAGCAAGACTTTCCTGTCCACAATGCCTCTTCCTGTCGTCACCTATGTTCTGGCCGGCTGGGTGAGCTTCTCAACCTGTCTCGATTTTTACTGAACTTGAACGGCACCTAGGACCTGGGTATTGTCAGGGGAACCCCTGATGCCGTCACTTGATCCCATCAAGCGCCGCGTCTCCGCTCGCGTCTCCGCTCGTGTCTCCGTGTCTCCGCACCCTAACACTCTCCCTCCCTCCACTGCCTGCACCACATCCCACATCCAGTGATCCCGAGTCTTCGACTTCCCTGGCCACTCCCCTCCGGAAGTCCATCCGGAATCACCATCATGGATCACTAACGCCATCGGAGACCTCTCCGGATGTGGATGCACCACTTCCCTCCGAGACCTTGAGCTTATGGCCTTCTAGCCTCTCCGGGCTGTTACTTATCAAGGTCTCCCTACCATCTCTATCCGCTGGACCTCTTGGGTGTCCCCAACCTATGTCAGCATTCGGGCTTACGTTCGGATGACTGAGCTTTGCCATGGCTCCGCTCTCTACTCCGCCACCACGGCCCCCGTCATCGGGTCTTCCCCTGGGTGAGGCCTACTGCCGTTAAGGCTCGTGCCTACTGCAGCGCCCCAGGCTGCACGCCCTCACACCTCCACCTCTCTGGAGACGTCCGGGGACGTCTCCGAGTGACCCCCTGTCGCTACCCTCCAGTGGTCATGGCTGGCCGCCATTCCCATTGGTCCTCTTCGACACTCCCGGCCCTTGGGCTAGACCAGACTCCTTCCCTTTCCGCTCCACGCCTTCCCTCTCCGTTTCCGGCCGTCACGTCACGGTCACACACCCGGAGTCGATTCCGATTCCGATTCCGATTCCGGTTGTCACGTCACGGTCACAAGCGGAGACGCCCAGAGGCAGCCTGGACCTCCCGAAGCCCTTCTTGGGCCTTCTAGGGATGCCTGGGCCCCTCCCTTGGCATCACGGTCCCAAACCTGCCTCTCCGGAGCTTCGAGGGCTACTCGACACTCACCTAGGGTCTATTAGCAACACCTGACTTCTCCAACCCGTCATCCGTCGCTACGCAGTCACTCTATCATTACTCCGGTCACTAGTATATAGTAGTACACCTGGGCAGAGGGCTCCTTGGCTTGTTCTCTAAGGATTCCCCCTCTGCTCAGGTGAGTCTGTAGCGTCCCTTCCTGTTGTAGTAGTTCACTAAGGATTCCCCCTCTGCTCAGGACTCTGATTTCGAGCCTCGCGAGGTTGCCCTTACAGGTATCTGTGGTGAACTTTTGCTGCAGGGCGTGGTTATAGCGCAGATAGCGCACTACTTCAGTCTTTATCACTCCGATGTGCCTGCTCTTCGCATGTTCGTTTTTGGGCTTCTGTTCCTCACGGTACTGAAGTCGATGCAAATGATGTGCGTGTCCTGTTACTGGAGTTCTGTTTAGATGACTGATGTTCATGCAGCGCTGTTATGTGGGTCCAGAATGTGCAATACTTCATGGACCCTGGCGCAGCGGCTGCCATGTTCACAAGACACTGGCTGAAGCAAATCAACTTGGGTGCGCATATCGACTCGTGTTTTTCTCTTTCCCTATCTAATGCATCCCAGGATTCAGCGGCTTGATAACGTTTTACGTCCAGGTTTTTCTGTGCCAACGTCTTTGGGTAAAGCTTTCTCATTTGACTCTTATGCCGTCCAACTCGAAACGTTTGCAGGTCCTTGGCAAAAACATCTACATCTACATGATGCTAATGACTGTTTTTACTTTCTCTTTTGGTGCCTTTGTCGCGGTATGCAATGGGTCCGCGTTCTTATTTGTGACTTGATGTTGCTCAGGTTGCCTTCACGTTCAATGACAAACCTGAGCGGATAAACTGGAGTAAGTATTCTGTCTTTTCGTTGCGTTCTTGCTGAACAATTCGTCAGTTTCAATTCACCTTGGAGTTGTCTTTGCTGGGGACCTCTTGCTTTGTAGCTCAACGGCCTACTTCCTGCTGGTGCGGTGCCATGTTCCGCCATCGCTAATACTGAACTGAGCATGACCTGGACAGAAACACTCCAAACAAGTTTTGCCGCAGACTGCAGGAATACTCAATGCGATCCTCAAACTGACGATCCAGAGCGCGGTGCCCGGAGCTATTTGCGCTATGGTCAATCTTGTCACCTCCCAAACCACCGACAAATCCAACCAGGCGAATGTCTCTACCCTCCTTTCCATCATCTCCACCGACCTGCTGCCAAAACTCTACACGATCAGCGTGATGTGGACTTTAAATTTGCGGCGCGCCATACTACTTTCGCGGTCGACTGGACACAATACGAGCAGTAACGAGGGCCCCAGCAGTGGCCGGAGGAATGTCGGCCTTAGCGGTGGCCGGGGTGTCGAGCTCGGGACATTTGGAAAGGTCCTGTCACAAACAACACCAATTCAGAGGATGCCAGTTGGCCAGTGAAGGCAAGCAAGAAGCACCGTGAAAGGATATCGTAAAGATGATGGAATTCGAAGACTGGGGTACAAGACGAAATCTACTCTACTTATATACACTACTACCATGTGTTTACCATGCCTAATACGAGAGGCAATGACGTCATACTTTAGCCATGCCTTTACGTGCTGTTTGCCTCATGTCCAACTCCATGCTGTCAATCAACATCAGCATCGACATCTGATGATACAATCACCATCTTATCGTCCATCTTATCTCCTCCTTGTCTTATCTTATCAACCAGGGCCAAAATAAAAGGTTTAAAGGGCGAAGAAAAAGGGTTTTTAAACCCAGGGTTTGACATTACCCCCCTTCAAGGTCGACGTCCCTCGTCGACAGAGGGCATTAAAGCACGTTCATCATCCACCCCCCCTTCAGCCTCCACAAAATGGCCAGTCTGATAATTAAACAGTTTCCGGGACGGGTATGGGAGCTTCTCTTTGCGTCGGCTTTATAGCGTTTGACCAGGTAATCCCAATGACCCTGGGCAAGGACAGGCACACTACGGGTCTTAACCACTGGGTTCTTCTGGTTGAACTCGTCTAACAATTCTTGAGAGTTCTCAAGCCTTTGCGCCGTCTCCCATGTATCCTCGCTATGCGG